TTTTTTTTCCTTCTGATTTACAGAATAATAATAATAATAATAATAATAAAAATAATAATAATATGATGATTTTTAACACTTGTATTTGGGATTCATCTAGTTATTACAGAAATGGAGTTCCTATCTTTTTTGTTGCACCTTCATTTGGTATTAAATATGAGGAGTATAGATATAGATAGTGTATTGTGTAGTTTATATACATTATGTTATATTAGTACAAATACAACAATTTTAATATCACTACCGGGTGTAAATAATACAGGTGTAACACCATAACTTCACTGTTATTTACATCTGGGATTAATTAATTCCACAAGTCTTTACAATTTTTTTCATTGCTTTTTTTTGGACACCATGATGGTGACTTAATTTAGAAGTCAAATAAATGGGAATTGGTAAAAAGAATAATACACCTCACTAGCTAAATATAACATTTCACTATCCACTAGCTAAGTATAGTATGAAATGATTTTTCAAGATATTATTCGTTAGCTAAAATGACATTTACCTCTCCATTTTAAGAAAATTTAGTTAGAAAAGTGCTTTCACATAAAAATGGATTTTAGTTGCAATCGACTTTTGAAAAAGCTGCCAAGTAAAAATAGAATGAAATGATCACCAAAATCTACCTATACTCTGTTGGGCTAAAAGCCTAATTTCAAGGATAGAATTCTGTTGATGATTTTCTCAAATATTTCATTAGTGATAGTGAACTGCGTTCTTGATGGTGATTGGTGCCAAATGTGTAATGACACTTTTACCCTCGCCTCATTTGCTGTCATATATGTATAATGTATGTATATATATTTATTGTTTCTAACCACTGCTCCATAATGTTGCCGACAATTAACTCTATCTACCATATTCTCTCAACCATAGTTTTTGAAGATGTTATATTTAGATGATACTATTTTTATTTTTTTATTTACACACAATCACAAATTTATACAAAAATATTTCTTTAAATGTGATTGAATAAACTATAAAGCATTGTGCAGCTTAAAGTTGAAATCATATAAAGATTTGATAAGATTAAAAAAATAACAATAATAACCTAAATTTTGGGTAAATTACAACCACCTCTCTGAATTAATATTTATTTACAAAAAATCCCTTCTTTTTGAGAAGTTATATCTAGCCCTCTGCCGTTTGTAAATTTTTACATCCATCCCCTACAAACGGGCCTTAAGAAATCTACAAATCTCAGGATTTTGGATGTAATTATGAAAAAATGAGGGGTTTGTTTGTAAATAGATCTTACCTCATAGCCGATTGTAATTTACTATAAAATTTATCAAGAGGGTAAGGTAATGGTGCCAATATAAAAAATGAAACCCTGGAATGTGGCACTAAATTCCGCCGTAATTTATGCTAAATATTATAATAAATTGGATCTCCCACTTGTTTTTTTATATATATATATTTATTTATTCATTTATTTATTAGGAAGAACTATAATTCTTGTACTGGCATGGAATTCTAACCATGTGCACCTATTCCTTGAACCGGTCAAGGCCGTTTGCGTCAACTTCACAATTCGTAGTTTATTTTCCCAATTTCGATTTTAATTTTAATTTTGAAATATTTTTTTTGTTTTTTTCTGATTTCTGAAATTTCCACTTTTAATTTTTAATTTGAATTTGAAATAACATTGAAAAATATAACATTGACTAATCTGTCTTAACACATTGAACTTGGTAACAATAAAAATGGTTGAAAATTGATAAATAAGATTATTCAGAAATACACACTGAATACTAATGTTACACTCTCGCTCCGACAAAGGTCGAGACTACATCCCGTAATCTCATGTTAAATAGAATAACAAACGAAAAAGGGAAAAAAAAATCCGGGCTCGTAAAATTCTAAGTAGTGCAATAGTAGCAGAATTACACAGATCACTCACTCTATGTAGAACTTCTTTTTAAACGGTGGAAGTGATTCACCGGACTTTTGTTTGATCTCGCAGCTAAGGTCAACTTCCATCAATCGATGATTTTCCCTCGATCGACTCATTGAGAATTGGAACATCAACTTATCCCCACGCTTAACGTTTGAAGAAGGGTGCAGTAGAAACACCTGCAATGATGTACAGTTAGACTCTCGATTTCTCGATTAAAAAAAAAAAACTTCGATTTTTAAGTATAATTGTAGAGAACGATGTGAATTAGTAACAACATACCTGTTGACCCCAATGAGTTCCAGAATCTTCACTCGGGGCGGTGGTCAACTCAATTTCTTTTTTAGCCGGATTCTTATCGCTACCCTAGTTTATCAATTAAACCAAATGTTAATTAATTAATTGTTTTCAAAAAAAAAGTCAAGATTGAATAATGATTACAGAAACTCACTCGAAAATGGACATCAAACCATCCACCGAAACCGGATAATCTTGCAATTTCTTGTGTGATGGAAGATGAAATGCTTGCTTCAACGATACGTATGTCGTCTATAGTAGCAGTTAAGCAGTCTATCTCCTTGACAATAACGTGTTCCCCGATAATTTGATTTGGATGAAGGTTGTTCCACATAGATGTCTACAAAGTTCAACAGCGCGAGCTTTTAGTTGCAGGGATATAATTCACAGTAAGCAAACGTAATTTTTTTTTTTAATTTAACTTCAAGTAAAACAACGTGGTTCTTCATATAGATATGAATCTCAGGATTGCCGAATATGACAGAACTTTGGAAAACTTGAATGAGTTAAATCGGAGAGGGGATTTAAATGTAAATTCGGATCATAAAATTGAAGGACTTCACATATACATTCTAAACTTAAATAATTCGACGACGAACTCACTTTGCTACGTTCTGTGGCAGTCCCAAAAAAAAAAAAACACTAAAGCAACAGCACCCTAAAGTTGCAATTCACTAAAATAGTAGAGGTTTTACAAACAATCTATTTATTCAATCAAAGAAAAAAGTAACCCGACACTAACGACATTGTAAAGAACATGTATGCAAATTCTTCAAAGATTGAAAGATACAGACATAATAAATATACAGTTGATAAAAACGAACCTGCAAGTAGAATTTTTGTTGCTCTGCAGTATACGGATTTGTCAAAACACCCATGTCGACGCCGTAATAAGTTTTGGTTTCATTAACAAAACCGTACCAATCCTCAATGGCTCGTTTATAATCACCCATTTTCTGATCTACTAACCCGGACCTGAGAGGTGCCATCCACATTCGAGCATGGCTCGGATACCTGCAAGATGAAGCTTCATTAGTCAGGTTATACCGACCAAATCAAACGTTCGACACGAAACTACATATAAAGGTCAATACAATACAGACAAATAGCCGTTTCTTTAAAGACCTTTATCTTCATAAACAAGATATAATATTCAGACAAAAAAAAATACTAACATGACACCATTTGGCTTCAGCCAGCGATCCCGAGCGCAGAGTACAGAGTCCAACATTGATTCACGGAGAAGAAAGTATCCCATCCATTCCGAAATAATTACATCAACTGCCCACCACAAGAAAATAATTATAACAATTAAGTCACAGGTGCATGAAAACGCATTAAAAAAATCGAACAAAAATAAGGTTAGCAACAACAAAAAAAAAAAATCGAACAAAATAAGGTGGCGAGAAGATTAAACCTTTCTCGGGCAGAGTCACATCCTCCATAGATCCCTCAATCACTTCAATTACATCCTGAAGCTTGTTTGCTTTAATAAGTTCACGCGCGTGTTCCGCCATTTTCGTGGCTTCAACCGCGTACACTTTCCTTGCACCTGCCTGTGCAGACCATATAGCTAGGATCCCGCTCCCCGTTCCTACGTCTAGAACAGCCTAATCGATAGATAAACTTAACTCAGTCCAAATCTTCACAATTCAAAATCATCAAACTAAGGTGGTGTTTGCAAAAGCTTTCACAAATAGATTACGAGCTTTTGTTTTTTTATTTCTAGCTCATAATCTATTATTACGTGTTTGCAAAATTGAACTTTTGCTTTTGTATCTCTTAAAATAAGCAATTTTAAGCTATAATTTTTGTTAAGCACCCATAACCCTGCTTTTTCTATTTAAGTTAATCATCCAACAAATTCACAAAACACCCCAAACTTTTAAAAATTAAACACTTAAAATCAACTTAACTCACGTGTCACGGTCTATAACTTCTACATTTAAATAAGCTTTCGCAAACACCACCTAAGGTGGTGTTTGCAAAAGCTTTTAGAAATAGAATATGAGCTTTTTTTCTCTGATAATTTGTTTTTAGGTGTTTGCAAAATCGACTTTTGTTTTTGCTTTTCTTAAAATAAGCTGCTTTAAGCTATAATTTCAAAAGCACCCATGTACCTGTTTTTTTTATTTAAATTGATTTCCATTTTTTTTGCAAATTTCCCCAACTTATAGAGTTAAGCACTTAATATCAACTTAACTCACAATCACTAACCTACGTTTCTAAATAAGCTTTTATCTTTCCAGCACATTCGCTTATTGTATTATTCGCATTCCTTTTTTTTTTCTATAAGAACCTATAATAGATACAGCAACAGAAAATCGAGCAGAAACAAATTATTTACACCTCCGAAATAATCAAAAAAAAAAATAAACATCGTAATACGGTGGCGCGTGAATAGTACCTTCCCTTTGAAGTGGTGTTGGTTCTCGAAAACGGCGTTGTAATAAGCGTCCATACGTATGCGGTCGCAGAGCATGTCCTTCTGGTGGTAGAGGAAGCCGTAGGTGCAGAAATAGTTGGCGAAATCGACGCCCTTGTCGACGGCGCCGTTTGCGGCGGTGCTCCCCATTGTTTCTAACCTTCGATTTTTTACGCGCTGCAGCTGTTGCTTTAAGAATCGAGGGAGAAAGAAACAGCGAAAAAAAATCTCTGTTTCTAGGGCATATGAAAATACTTTCCATTTATAGTCGGACCGTTACTATTAGAACCGTCCGGTTCGCACCCGGTTCAAACCCGGCCCAGTTTGCTGCGCTTTGCTGTGAAACAAACCCTAGCTCGAGGCGATTTTTTGTTGAGCGCAAGCTCATTTTCTTTTTTTTTTTTTTATTTTATTTTATTTATTTTTATATTATTCTTGTATATTTAATATTTATATTGGTGTAAAAAGAATTCAGGAGCGCATGAACAACTACAATTGGTTCGAGCTCAAGCTCATCCGGAATCTCGAGTTTGAGCTTTTGTCGAATTGGGTCGGTTTATTTACACTCCTACAACCATACTTGAAAGGAAAAGCAATTGATCGATTAACAATGTTCATCGATTAAATGGACTTTATTTTATTCTGCTTGGTTTCGAGTAATCTTAATAAAATTAGTAAATGTTTTTTTTTTAATATTAATTAATTGAATTATATTTATTTTATATATTGTTTCCTTTTTTTTCTTTTGTTGTTTTTTTTTTTCCTTTTTTTGAAGGAACTTATGAATTGTGATCGTTACTAGTCGTATACGTGCATACGAAGGATCATTCTCGTTTGTTGCATGGTACGCTCGATGAAATTTATTAAACATGCATATATAATGAATAGATGATTGAAAAAAAATTCTAGTTACCTAAAATAAATTAAATAAATTCATTTAAATTTTAATCGGTCATTAATCGAACTAGACAATTATATTTTCCGTATTACAGTTAATGAGCATATTACATTCTAACGAACATTCACCGAACGACCTTATAAAACTTTGTTGGACAACAACAAAAAAATATATACGAAGGCGGTCCAATGGCAAGGGCCGAGAGGCATGCGCCTTGGGCCTCCAAATATATTAAACCCCCCCAAAAAATACCTAATAATTCCAAAAATTATAAAACTAACATAAAGTAATATATGTCTTATATTTTTGTAAATATTATGCTCTTGGAAGGGCACCAAAGAACTTAGTTCTAGTATTGTCCTATTATTGGTTGAAATTTGTAAATTCAACCTAATTAATTTAGACCAATTGTGCGCAATAAACACAACTAAAGTACTTAATTTAATTTGTTCTTTAGTAATTATTAGATATTACATCACACACACACACACTAAAAGTACACTTGCATGAACTTTGACAGAGAATATAATACACGTTTCTAGTATATTCACATTCGTCCAAAGAAAATGTATGGTGAACAAACATCAAGATAATAGATAATGCATAATGGTTCCAACTCAGAAGCTTTGATCACATGTGACATGTTTTTATTAATTCAATTTGTTTTTAATAAATAAATAAATAGTGTATCATGTAATTAGGTGCCAATTAATAAACACTGCAAACATGACAGATGAGTTAAATATATTTAACTATTTGTGATTTTATACTTATAAGTTATATACGTGAAGAATTCAACTCCACACATATAAAATACTTGTATATTCCCATTTGAGCCTGCAAGGGATGACCTCTCGATTGAATCAACTAAGATTGTATAGATTGATTCAGATTCGAATTTTCTTACCAACAATCGATAGATCGAGATTGCTACACACATAGTTAGTCTACTGTGAGTTTACGTCTTTCGTATATTTTGCAAATTACAATCTATTATATAATAGTGTAAATTTACTCAGTGCATAGTAATTGGTTGCATGTTCCTTCATTAAAAAAAAATCTTTTTAAGTTAGTCTTATACCATTTTAGACAAAGCCATGGTGAATAATAATATTTTTCTAATTGTTTAGATGCTTTAAATAATCAAGAATTATGCCCCAATTTGAATATGTTAATTGTGGTGTTTCCCTTCTAATTAATGATGGCCACAACCTCTTAATTAGTCCCTCAAAATGCATACAAAATGCACCGTTAATTTGGCAGCCTATAATATAATGCAACTTATTGTTTCTTGATATCTCTCTCTTTCAATTAAATAGTTGTGATTTGTTGGTGAATTATAAATGGCTACCCATTAGCCTAATCTTTCACACAATAAGTAAATAAAACAAAATTCAAGAAAAATTGGAATGAAAGTAAGTACTAATTTCAACCGCCTTAGTGTAACATCAACATTACGGCAAAAGGCAACTATAGATTCATAGATATCACACTTAAGTCTATTAACTAAATGCGTGTGTTGACGCGGTGCGATTTCACATCACGTTTTGCAATTCTTTCATCGCACTTCTTGATTTCTTGGGTGGGCATTAGCTGCATCATAAAAAGTTGTTAGGGCGCCAAAATTAGTCCCGACGAAAACTCTTCAACGCTCAAGTCAGCTTTGTATAGTAGAACAATTCAAAGAATTCAAGAGACTATTCGGAAGTTATGAATTGCGTACATTTGATTGTGCGGTTTTCGAGTATTTATATGGAGACCGATATTTTCGTGGGCCTAAGTCACTTAACATGAGCTGACTTGGACCTAAGTGTTTAAATCATAATCAGTTTGAGTTTTAGCAAACTTGGGCTTGTATTATTACTTTTAATTGATTTGGACTTGGTCTGTGTGTCCATATGGGCTTGTAGATATGTACCTTTGGGCGTAGACCCATTGTGTGTATATATGCATAATCAATTTAACAAAATTGAAAGTATTGACATGTAAATCGACATAAATAATACGTGATGTATAAGGAAATATAACAAAAGCAATCCTAGCAAATTAAATCTACTATAGGGCTAAACATACACTCCAAAGTATGGTCAAAGTGACCGATAATTGTCGGTTCACCATTACATCTAACAAAATGTTTGGTTAAACTTATAAGATATTAAATAAGATGATTACGAGTTCATGTAATCTTTTTTTTAAATATTTTAAAGATTCAAAAAATAAGGTGACCGTTTTATGTAAGATCTTATAATGAGTAAATATAACGTATAAACTCATTATCCAAACACTTCAAAAATTAATTATTAATAAAACGTAACAACTTATTCGCTCATAAAATTACTTATCAGACGTAAAAGATTATCAGCTATTTAAAATAAATTTAACAAATGGCTCTAAGTGACTAATCCAATTAAGATATGAAATCATTAATTGAAAGTCTATTGTTAGTTTAATTTCCTACATTACTTTCAACTCTTATCATTTAAAAATATTTATTTATTTATCTCGAGGGATAAATTAGGTATAGACTAGTGACCGAAAGAGGAGGTGTTTAATGAGGAAGTTGAAGGAGGGGGCGGGAGCCCCAGGTAGGCATTGTTAATTAATTAATTAATTAATTTAATTTGTTATCTTAATTATTTTTTAATTTTAATTTAATTTTGTTACTATAAAAAAGGGAGTTCCTGCTGGACGCAAATGCCTACCACCAACAAATGCGCTGTCCTCTCTCTCTCTCTCTCTCTCTCTCACACTCACTCTCTCTTTCTCTCTCATCTTTCTCTCTCTATTCGAGAATTTTCCTGCTGTTTGAAAAACCTACAGAAAACCAAAATTAGTATACAAACTTCCCCAAAATAAATAAAATACATTTAATAAAAATTAAAAAAAAATCGAAATAAGAGAAAAAAGGGAGAGCCTCAAACGATCGCGAACCCTAGAACTCGGGCCGGGTATCATCATCCAACGGGTTTGCCGATCAGACATTGATGAATGTGCCTAATTTGACACAGCATTGATAATAATAAAGTAATTTTTATCCAGGATTATATTTTAATTTTTCTTTTCTCTGAAGGTGCGTCTGTTTTTTATTTATTGAAATTTCTGCATTTAGATTATTTTTCATGTTTATTTCGATCTGATTGTTGGTGTGGTGCCGTTTGTTGGCGGCGGGGGTGAAAGGGGAGAAAGGTTTGATTTTTATTTTTAATTTAATTTTTTTGTTTTGGAAATTTGAATTGCGAATGTCGCGTGGTTGTGGTTTTGCGTTTTTTTGTGGTTGAATGCTCAGATCTGCTTTTGGTTTTCATTTTATTTTGACGCCCGGAATCTTCTAGATGTATGGTTCTTTTGGTATCTTCGCCCCCATGTTTGGGTTCTGATTTTTATATTGAAATAATGGTGTTTGTTTGTTTGTGCAGAGGCAATAAGTAATCAAAAATCATGTGTTTATGTTTAATTGCTTTGCTGGGCAGATAACTTTTGTGTATGGTGTTATTCGTGTACCTTAAAAGCATATATCTTTACCTGTATAATTTCTTCGAATTCGTTTATTTTGTGGCAGGGCTGTTCATGTGGATTTTTTCTTGCTAATAATCATTTGAATTGTAAGGGGTGGATTATCTGTCTCCATTTTCCTTGTCGGTTTTCTTCTTTCTGTTATTCTTTGTACTACGGTATCACCTCAACTGGCATATTCCTACTTTTACAATTTCAGTAAAATATATTCTGATTTCTACTTTATATTGATCTGCAGAGAGGACATGTTGCTCTTGTTGAATTGTGGTGATACTTGATCTAGTTTGTTCGACACGCTTGCTGCTGGTTAAATTTGCCGAAAAATATATTAATCTTTAGTTTCACACAAATCTCTTCATCATGGTTGCCACCGCCGCAACTTGTGCGTTTCTCCCAGTACCTTCTCCATCTTCAGACTGCTCCGGAAAAGCATCCGGAAAGATAAGTGGCATCCCTGCAAGCGTTGATGCCCGTGCAACTAGCGCAAAGTCAAAGTCTTCATCTGCTGGAAGATTACAGGTTAAGGCCAGTGCACAAGCCCCTCCAAAGGTTAATGGCACCAAAGTTGGAGTTATGGATGGTTTCAAGACTGACGATGAGGTGTCTGTGTCACCTCCCCCGAGGACGTTTATCAACCAATTGCCTGACTGGAGCATGCTCCTTGCTGCCATTACTACAATATTTTTGGCCGCAGAAAAGCAATGGATGATGCTTGATTGGAAGCCAAAAAGGCCAGATATGCTTGCTGATCCTTTTGGTTTGGGGAGGATTGTGCAGGATGGTCTTGTATTTCGTCAGAACTTCAGTATTAGGTCGTATGAAATAGGGGCTGATCGGACTGCTTCAGTAGAGACAATGATGAATCATTTGCAGGTTTATATTGAAACTAATTTGTTTAGTGAGTTAATGTGTTAATTCTTGTGCTACTATGAATTATTAGAAATTGTCTTGCACTCAGTTGACAGTTTGCTCTATTCTTATAGGAGACGGCTCTAAATCACGTAAAACATGCTGGATTGCTTGCTGATGGTTTCGGTTCAACACCGGAAATGTGCAAAAGAAATTTGATTTGGGTGGTTACTAAAATGCAGGTCGTTGTCGATCGTTATCCGACGTGGTAAGTTTTAGTACATGATACGCTTAAGCAAACTTTTCTTGTTATAAAGTGTTGTCTTATTAGTTCTAATTTGAGTTCCTGAAATTTATGTCTTGCAGGGGTGATGTTGTTCAGGTGGATACTTGGGTAGCTGCATCTGGGAAAAATGGTATGCGTCGAGATTGGCTTGTTCGTGATAGCAATACGGGCGAAATATTAACTAGAGCATCGAGGTTAGGGAATGTTTGATTAATTTTACGATCTTCTAGCCATAAATTTTAGTATGGTCTGTCCATTCCTGTTTAACTAACTCAAGCTTTTTAATCCGGGATGTTTCTTTTTGGAATAATGGCAGTTTATGGGTAATGATGAATAAAGCGACGAGGAGATTATCTAAAATTCCAGATGAAGTTCGAGATGAAATAGCGGGCTATTTTGTGGATTCTCCTCCTATAGTGGATGACGATTCCCGGAAGCTACCGAAGCTTGACGATACCACTGCGGATTATGTCCACAGTGGTTTGACTGTAAGCAAATGTTTACTACTAACAATTTATTCCGTAATTCCCAAGTGTCATTATTGCTTCATTAAAAAATTGCCTTCTGAAATCGATACGTTCCTTTACGTGCAGCCTAGATGGAGTGATCTAGATGTGAATCAACATGTGAATAATGTGAAGTATGTTGGTTGGATTCTTGAGGTATGTTCTTGAAACTACTTTCTATTGCATAATCATAGTACTAATTTTGAAAAAAATAAAATTAGAGTTATTGTTATGATTATTCAAAAATGCTACAACTAGGTTTCGACTTGATTTTGACTCTGTCAATTTAAAATGCAGAGTGCTCCATTGCCAATACTGGAGACTCACGAGCTTGCTAGTATGACACTCGAGTATAGAAGGGAGTGCATGAGGGACAGTGTGCTACAGTCCCTCACATCCGTTATGGATGAGGGTGACGCCGACGTGGCAAAATCCTCCATTGTTCAGTGTCAGCATTTGCTTCGATTGGAGGGTGGTGGTGAAATTGTCAAAGGAAGAACTAAATGGAGGCCCAAATATCCCGACAGAATCGGGAGCCTGGGCCAGTTTCCAGCGGAAAGTGCTTAAGTACACACGGTCGCCAATTATTCATCGGTGGAGGTACTGTACTGTGCTTTGATGTGTAGTAGAATACAATACTGCTTGTGATCATCTATTTGTCTGCTCTGTTAAATCCTCATGTAATGTCCAGTCTAATTTATTATGCTTTTTTTTTTTTTCGATTCTTATTATTATTTTTTTTTTGGTTTCGATTTTCTTCTTGATAACGATACGATATAAGTTTGAAAAAGTTCGTTTGTAAGTACCGTTCGCTTTCGTTCGTATATTCTGCAATATAAATTTCCAGCTGTAGTAGTGAAAGTTGGCGTGTCGTGTCGATATATGTATGTACGGGGGTCCATTAATCCGTTTGTTGTTTGTTAGTAAAGGTAGTTTTCTGAAGAGTGGTCCTCCATTAACATTATATAGTTGAACCAGTTTGTTTCTGTGCTTGAAATATACATATATACAATTAATAGGGTGTTTAATTGAGAGATTTATTTTGATTATTTAATTATCTGCTTTATTTATTTATTAAGCAAGCTACCAACTACTTAATTCGGTGGAGATTAATTCAAGTATTTATTGCTTACTGACCCAATTGCTCAATCTTGTTGAGTATAATGTTCAATTAAACATGTATATATTTTTGTGTATATATATATTCACTGCTCAACGGTCTCAACTGAATTATTATTATTGTTATTATTATTATTATTATTAAATAAGTAGTTTACTTGTGGAAATTGTCTTCTCCAAAAGATGTAGACGAATAATTGACTGTATTAATTCAAGAACTTTTATAGTTTTATTCCAAGATTGAATGAGAAAAAGTCAATGATGTAGTTGAGAGTGATGAAACTTTTCTTCTGGAATTTTCAAAGGTTTGATCAATTAGTCATATGTTGGTGAACAAATTTTGTTCTTTTTTCTTCTAGAATTAATAAGTTCCGTCATGAAACTTTAAGGCCTCGTCTCGTTTGGATGGGGAGATTAGTCATTATTAACTAATAACTGGACTTGGTTTGATGTTTGGTATTCTTAATAAACTTATCGGGACGATCTGTAAATATTATATTATCATACCTTATGTCATTGTATAGGCATATTTTATATTGGAAATTTCGAGATCCAATAATGCAATTGAATTTTATTAAATTATTTAATTTGAACTCATTTTGGCGAATCCTTAATATTTCACCTTACAAAAAAGAAACCTATAAAAGATGGAAATATGAACTTTTGGAATCTTTGGTACGTTTCATTGTCAACAATGTGAAATAAGTGCGACAAAACCAAATGAGCCCACGTATTCTTTTAAATAGCGCTATCAACAAGATTCTGGGAATCAATTTTCATATTATTTTGGATGTTCTAATTTATTTTTCATATTATTTTATCAATTGAGGTATTATGGAAAATGGTTTGAGAAACCGTAATATTTTTTTTTTTTTGGTATTTATTGAGAGGGGAGTAATTATATTTATTAGTATTATTTTTATTTAATTTAATCGGAACATTAGCCTAATAAGTATTTAATTCATTGTAGCACATACAATATATATATATAACGAATTTAAAGATTGATAATAATTTCCCCACTTGTTTTATGTTTCTTAACTCATACTTGTGCGGACGGTGGTCCCTATGTTCAATGGTGCCAACAAATTTAAGCCTTCATGTGTAAGAAAATTTAAAGTTGAAAGGATAATTGCAAATAACCAAATATGAGGGGCTTTTTTGTAATTTAATCTTATCTGGGTGACTGTAATTAACCCTTTTTTCTAGTCATTCTGTATGTTTATTTTTATCTTTAGTATAAAAAACGCACCATTTTGTGTAAAAACTAAAAGGAACTCAATTTTCAGTCGGGTTCCAATTCAACCGGTAACACTAGACCGGACAAGTCAACGGCTCACGGTTTAACGGGTTCAACCAGCCAGTTCAGTCCGGATTTCAAAACATTGATCGTAACTATAAACAAAAGTATGTGGGATTAATACCAAATATACATATTTTACAATTAATATTGTTGTTGATACTTCATATACTTGATATCATCGTTTTTCAATACCGACACAAGACAAGAGAAATCCTGCATGTGAGTTATTATAAATCAAATTTCAAGGAAAATAAAATAAAACATAATTTAATTTAACAAATAATGACACAAATAAAGACAGACTCTAATCAGACAAATCTCAATTACAGAGGTCTCGGGACGAAGCGTTCTTAGTTGGTCAATGTCAGTGATGATGCTAAAAATAGATCACCTTATATAGTTGAGATTGAAGGAGCTGGGAAAGCAAAGTGGGTCACTGCTCATGTGCTAGATAGCCCTGAGACACCTGCGAACAAAGAACACGTGAACTAGGCCGGGGGTTGATCCGGCGGAAACCCCTCCGACGCTCAAGTCAGACGTGCGGATAATGGAAATAGTTCGGGAGAATATGACCCCTAGTATTATTTGGATAATAGGGCGTACCTTATCGAATGAGTTCAAATGTGTATTTATAGCTTAGTTGAGATTGTCGGGCCCAAACCTTGCTTGAAGGTGATTGGGCCTCGGTGATAGTAGTCTTCGATATTGGGCTCGTGGCCCGGTAGATAAATAATTTGTAGGCCCATTGGGTTGGGCCAATTAGGCATATCATTAAGCCCCCCACTCTCGAGTCGATGTGGGGGCCATGTTGAAATGAGTTCTCAATCGTGTCGAGAGTGAAAATTGTAGTGTTCGTTCTTTGGCATATGGCCTGATGGTGTGCGAAAATGAATTGGAGCGTGTGTCGGAGGGGCGTGAATGCGCGTTGGCGCGTAGCGCGACCAAGTTGTCGCTATGTAAGTTATTTGAGTCGTCGGTGTTGTCCCGCGACGATGTAGTAGCGAATTGTCTCCTCGTGGGAGTTGTCTCGTCGCGGGGTAATATAGTTGATCGAGTTATCTCCTCGTGGGAGTTGTTTCGCGATAATGTGGTAGCACGGATCAAGTAATCTCCTCGTGGGAGTTGTCTCGTCGTGGGGTAATAGAGTTGATCGAGTTATCTCCTCGTGGGAGTTGTCTCGTGAAAATGTAGTAGCACGGAGCTAGTATTCTCCTCGTGGGAGTTGTTATTTATTGACATTGTCAATGTTTTGACGCGTTGCTTGTATGTGTTTACATATAGCCTTGTGCGTGATGTACTTGAGGAGGGGATCAGGCTCTCAAGAGTTTTTTTATGGGGATCGTGCCCCTTGTTAGACCTCGTGGGTCGTAAGTATGTTTGGACCGTGGCCACGTTTTAATGAAGGACCCATCGAAAACAAGTAGATAAATTTTGAGTAATCAAGCTGGCCAGGCTATATAGATTCTCATAATATCTCTAAGTGTTTCTAAGGTTGGATTTGTAGTGCCGAGCGAGTTGGCTCCTCGTGGGAGTTGTCTCGATGCGGGTTGTAGTGCTGAGGGAGTTGGCTCCTCGTGGGAGTTGCCTCGCAACGGGTTGTAGGACCGAGCTAGTTAATTCCTCATGGGAGTTGTCTCGCTGCGGGTTGGTAGTACCGAGCGAGTTGTCTCCTCGTGGGAGTTGTCTCGCTGCTAGTTGTATGACCGAGCGAGTTGTCTCCTCGTGGGAGTAGTTCCGAGCGAGTTGGCTCCTCGCGGGAGTTGTCTCGCAAGCCCCCCACTCTCGAGACGATGAGGGAGCCAAGTCGAAAAGGGTACCGGATCGTGTCGAGAGTAGATCGGTGTTGTAGTGTTCCGTTAACTGTTGGCGTGACGTGGAGAAATAATTTTTTTTTTTTTATTTTCCATTTGATAGCGAACGCAATTTGGTAGGTGCGTTAAAGAGCTCGCGCAATTTGGTGGAACGCGTTGAAATTCTCGTGCGATTTGATGAAGCGAGTCAAAATCTACGCGCAATTTGGTGGAGGGCGGTGAAAGTTCCGTGCGATTTAATGGGAGCGCGCAGTCCAAGGGCGCCTTGGGAAAGCGCGCGCGCGTGCTTGCAAGCGCTGCCATTAATTTCTTTTTTTTTTTTTTTTTTTTTTCCTGGCTGCTGACGCGCGCGCGCGTGAGCGCGTGAACTCCACGCGCGCGTGCTGTGCACGCGCGGCCCCCTCTTCTTTTTTTTTTTTTTTTTTTTTCTACTGGCTGCTGACGCGCGCGCGTCAGCGCGTGAACACCACGCGCGCGTGCTGTGCACGCGCGCGCCCCCCTTCTTTTTTTTTTTTTTTTTTTTTTTTTTTTTTTTTTTTTTTTTCTGAGGTGGCGCGCGGCTCGGCTCTCGGGCGTGGCTTGGCTGCCCTTCTTCAAATTTTTATTTTTTATTCTCTTTTTTCTTCTTCTTCTTCTTTCTTCTTTCTTCTCATCTTCTTCTTTTTTCTTCTTCTTTGATTTTTTTTTTTTGTTCTCATCTTCTTCTTTTTTCTTCTTCTTTGATTTTTTTTTTTTGTTCTCATCTTCTTCTTGTTTCTTCTTCTTTGATTTTTTTTTATTTATTTTTTTCTTCATCTTCTTCTGGGGTTTCGCGTGCGCGATTTTACCCCCCTTTTTTTTATTTGGTTGATATTCACCCCCTTGGGATGTTCTATTTTTTGAGTAGGGAGATTATCCTCGTTCCTTGAGATGGGATGTGCACCCCCTTGGGGATGTTCTATTTTTTGAGTAGGGAGATTATCCTCGTTCCTTGAGATGAGATGTGCACCCCCTTGGGGATGTTCTATTTTTTGAGTAGGGAGATTCTACTCGTCTCTTGAGATGTGATGTGAACCCACTTAGGGTCATGCCCAACCTTAGGATGGGGATAACTGCCCACTGTAGGATGAGGCGCTCGAGACCTATGGTCTGAGGTGGATGCGCACGGTTGTGCCATTGGTTCGCGCGTACGCGTCAGACCATTTTTCCTGTTTTTGAAGTAGGGACGTGAAACACTTGATGGGATGTGAAACCCCTTGGGGTTGAAAGGTAAGTGGATGTACCACCCTTGAGATGAGATGCCCAACTTTAGGATGGGATAGCCCCCCATTTAGGATGAGGCGATCACGAACCACTGGGGTGAGATGCCCTACCTTGGCGATTTATGGTGCCAGTGATTCAGTGGCAGCACGAGTTGAATCTTCCGTGATCATACGCTGAATGTCTTCTTCGGTTATCTGAACCGTTCGAGAAGTAAGTAGAAATTGATCATGTTGAGGACCCAGTGGGGCCTCAGGAGGAGGAGCGTTGGCTCCTACTATGACGATGTATGGTGCCACTGCTTCAGTGGTAGCACAAGTTGAAGCTTCCGCGATTATACGTTGAAGGTCCTTATCGGTTATCTGAGCCGTTAGAGGAGCAAGTAGAAGTTGATCTTGTTGAAGGTTCGGCGATCATATGCTGAAGGTCCTCTTCGGTTATCTGAACCGTTCGAGGGGGGCGGAAGTAGACCCCTAGAGAGTCGATGATCCATGGCGAATGAAATGTTTTGGGGGCACTATGAACCTCCAGGGAGTCGATAACCCTTGGCGAACGAAATATTTTGGGGGCAAATGTAAGCCCCCAGGGAGTCGATAACCCTTGGCGAGCGAAATATTTTGGGGGCAGATGTAAGCCCCCAGGGAGTCGATAACCCTTGGCGAGCGAAATGTTTTGGGGGCAGATGTGAGCCCCCAGGGAGTCGATAACCCTTGGCGAGCGAAATGTTTTGGGGGCAGATGTGAGCCCCCAGGGAGTCGATAACCCTTTCTAGTGTTGAAGGGCCTCCTCGGTTATTTGAACCATTCGAGGAGCAGGGAGTGGTGGATCGGCGAGTGGTGGGTCCCGAGGGGGGATCACCTGAACCTCGCGAGGCGGATCCATGGGATGGGGAGGAGGTGGCAAGCCAGAGCCTCCACGAGGTGGGAGGTCGTTAGCTGTGTCATTTTCTCTCCGAGCAGACGCCTCAGGAGGATCTTGTTGGCTACGTGATCTGGTTTGCATCGTTCCCACAGACGGCGCCAAAATGATGATGCTAAAATATAGCTCACCTAGGGTGGTGTAGAAAATGAGCTGGGAGAGCAAAACAGATCAGTAGCTTGACAACTTGATGATCCTGAGGTACCTGCGATCATAGAACACATAAGCTAAGCCGGGGGTTGATCCGGCGGAAACCCCTCCGACGCTCAAGTCAGACGTGATGATCATAGAAATAGTCCAGAGAATACCATTAGTAGTATTGCTCAGATAATAGGACGTACCTTATCGAATGAGTTCAAATGTGTATTTATAGCTTAGTTGAGATTGTCGGGCCCAAACCTTGCTTGAAGGTGATTGGGCCTCGGTGATAGTAGTCTTCGATATTGGGCTCGTGGCCAGGTAGATAAATAATTTGTAGGCCCATTGGGTTGGGCCAATTAGGCATATCAGTCAGGATACTTGTTAACCATTATCAAAGGCAAGAGCCAAGATCCCTTTTTCAACTTGTTAGAAATTATGCATACAGATTATTAGATGATTAAGAGGGTAGATTAGTAATTAACAGTTTGTTGCATGAACCATAATGGAACCCTAACAAATTTCATCTTATACCTACACATAATCACACACACACACCTATGTGTATGTGTGCTTAGTAGATAGTTATCTTTAACTAATCAAATCTACCGGTTCGTAACCACTTTTTTAGATTAATGAAATCTCTCTCTCTCTCTCTCTCTCTCTCTCTCTCTCTCTCTCTCTCTCTCTCTTCTCTCTCTCTCTCTCTCTCTCTTCCTCTTCAAGCTTTCTCCGTGTTTCAATGGAGCTTTTGGTGTAACTTCACACTATCAATATAATTTTATTGCAGATGAAAAATGAATCACAAAAGCTCAATCCTCATTACAAAACTTTACAGTTTCCATATGTTGAATGAAAAACTAAATTTATAATCACACTCTATTACAAAAACCTATCTCCTCTGAAAATTAAAAGATTTGATAGCGAAAGCGAAAATCACTGCAAACAGAACACAAAATCCGACCACCATAATACCCGCAATGCCGACGAAATCATGTCTGAATCCGAAAACGTTCTTGACCAGTAACCTAGTCGACAACAACTGAACTCCGTCCGAAAGTTTCACGAGTTTTTCCACGTCAGCGTATTGAGAAGCAACGAGACCATATAGACTCCAAGCTATAGGGTTCGCCCAATAGTACCATCTCCACCATATCGGAATTCTCTGCATGAGCATAAAAACAAAATACGAGAACTCGAAAATTTTAGTATTTTATATAGATGACATCTTTTTTTTTTTTTTTGAATAGTGTACAACAGCATGAAAGAAACATTCATGTTTTAGAATATAGCCCCGTTTCTCGAAAATCTAATATTTTATATAGAGATTTTCGGATAATTCAAAATATAGTAGACTACGTTAAAATGGACTCGAAATCAGAACAGGAAATTAAATAATAATTTTTTTGGTTAATTACCTTGTGAGGTATCATGAAACCGCTGAAGAGATTCCAGAGCATGTAGAATGGGGCGGCAATAATGGCGGCCACATTGTGGTTGGGAGTGACAGCTGTCGTCATCATGCCGTAAAAGGTGAAGTACAACATAGTGAAGTACATAAAAAACGTGTACCACACAAATTTGGAGAAGGTCCACTCGAACGAGGCCATAGAGTAAAATATGGTGCAGTAGAATATTGCCTGTACGAATACATAAGGAAACTCAATGGCCACCTGCACAGGGTTTAAGACATTATAGTATTGGATTCGGACAGCACAGAAAACAGAAGTTAGAGTGAAGTAAACAAACGAGACGTTAGTTAGTTTTGGCAGAAAACAAGAACCTGGGCAAACGCAAAAGGTAGAGCTGAATATGTTCCAGCTGCTCTCTCTCTGTAAGAAACGAATCTTTCAACAGAGACAACTGGTTGAACAGCAGTGCCGTTTGTTACTCCGATGAACAATACTGCTGCGTACATTGATCCCATTGCGTTAAAAATGTCTTGCTGTGAATCCCTACAATACATTAAAAAAGAGTTTAAATTAAACTACGGAAAAAAATCCCCACCGCATGGTTTTATTTTTTCTTCTAAATTTTGGTCAAAGACGTGATTTTTTCTGGGAAAAAATGAAACAATACCATGTTTCGTTTTGATTCATCGTAAACCTGAACTATGCTGATTTGATGGAAATATAACAGAATAAGTGTCGAATATAAACCTTTTGGAACCGAATTCCCAACATATTGTCCCTAGCATAAGTGATATAATCACTGTGTAGAAGAAGCGAACAGCCGTGTATTGGGGGTTTCGCCAGTAAGAGAGATGCTGCTTCCAGAGGCAAGCCACAAATTGATCAAGATACGACCTTGAATACATTGTGGGGAAGTTAAGTTCTTTTGCATCAGCACTTGGCTTGCTTAACCTCTCGACCAATTCTTTATTATATCTGAAAAAATTAAACAGGGATATAATATCGAGAAATATGTCAATTTCAGACACGAAAATGCAAGATTGAACGAAGTGTTGTACTGGACATACTGAAATAGGTTTGATTGTCTATAAATTTCAGCGAAATCAACATCGAGGCGGTTTCCTCTGCTGACGATGTAACTTCTAACATCCATGTAGCGGGATTATATCCTGGCCTTATCCTCCGTACTCCATCAACCCCCTAATTACCAAAAGAAAAATATTAAATAAATAAAAGTGACTAACTTCATCATACATTATCAGATTAAAATGACAAATGTCAAACCTCAAAATACTCGATCAGTTTGCTAGATTTGGGACCGAGTGGACCAGCATAAATGAGCTCCCCTCCCCGTTTCATAAATAAAAGCTGCAGCACGAGCCGATAGATTAGCAGCAAGAAATTAGACCAAAGAACCTCCATAACTACCAAAATTATCCTCAATTTCAAAATTGCATGCTAGCTGGTGTAGGTGATCAATTAACTTGAAATGAATAATTTACTTCGTTTTATTTTTTTCAATCTAATTGCAGAATACTGAATAATGTAGCAAATATTGAGGTTTTGACTTCAGAAATATTATAGTTGTCGACAAACTAATATGAAAGTTAGTCCAAAAATTCGAAAATTCAGTTTTCGAGTTTAGCAAAGAAACCAACAATTTTGGGATGGAGTAATAATGCATGCAAAAAGATGTCAACGCTCGGGCATGTTATCTCTTAACCAGATCACACACATAAATACATAAATAGTCTATTGCATTACAAATCATCCAGTAGTAAAGCTTATACCAAGGTATATCGAATCCATTTGGTTGAGTGTATTGCAATGGCTTTTATAAGGTCAATTTTTCCATTTTCTTTTTTCTTTTTCTTTTTTTTTTTTTGAAAAGAAAGGAATATCAAAAGAGAAATAAGTCGGACCTCATCAAAGGATTCAAAGATGTCAATGCTGGGTTGATGAATCGTGCAAACGATTGTTCTCCCCGTATTCACTATATTCCTCACAGTCCTCATAACAATGGCTGCAGATCTAGCATCCAAACCTGATGTTGGCTCATCCATAAAAACTATGGAAGGATTGGCGACCAGTTCAACAGCAATAGTGAGGCGTTTTCTTTGCTCTGTTGATAATCCATCAACTCCTGGTAAGCCTACCAAAGCCCCTTTTAAAGGAACGAGCTCCACAAGTTCCATCACCTCTTCAACAAATGCCTGACAATGTGAACATCCATAAGTCATATGATGTTCTAGAATGTAATAAAACCAGCATCGGTAATTTTATATAAACGTACCTTTTGGGTTTCCAAGTCAATATCTGATGGTAACCTCAGCCAAGCGGAGAACAAAAGCGATTCGTGGATGGTTAAGCAAGGAGAATGGATATCGTTTTGCTCACAGTACCCTGATATTCTAGCAAAAGTTTCTTGTGTTTTAGGATAACCAGATATATTGACATTTCCTTCTATAACTCCGCCAGTTTTTCTACCGGCTAATACATCCATAAGGGTAGTTTTCCCGGCACCACTAACTCCAACCAATGCTGTGAGCACACCTGGCCTGAATGCTCCTGTTATGTCGTTCAGTAACTGCAGTTTGTCCTCGGATACGCCTTGCTGCTTCAGTTCCTGAAATAATAAGTTTTACGTAATGTATCGTGAGAAAAATAAAAATATTTAAATTAAAGAAATGATCTCTGAAAAATTAATGGAGAGTGTACACACCAGAGGCACATCCACGTAGTAACAGATGTTGCTGAAAGACATTGAAAGCGGCTGAAAAGGAAGCACCATGCCCTTTTGTTTAAAACTCTTTTCTGATAACAAAGTAAACTGAAGGTCAACATATTTCACAGAATTATGCATACACAAGTCTTTCCATCTTTCATAATTTGTAAACAGAGAAACTACAATTATTCTTACTAGCAAATGAACCCGAATGCTGCAAAAAGTCTCTTAGCTGAATAACAACAGGTTCTCCTTTCCGCATCTTCTCTCTATTTTCGAGCTCTTCTTTAGAAATAACAGCTTGACGCTTCACAAGAGCTTCAGGAGATTTGAAAATAAGACAAGAAAAGAGAAAACAACAAGAAATTTTAGTTCGATGTAATATGGGAGGTAAAAATATGGGAGTTATAAAGAGAGGTAGCTTACGGTTCAGCTTCGAGAGGAAAATGGTGAAAAGGAAATTGAATAAGAAGGTATAACCGATCAAAACACCAACACCTATCCAGTACCAGTAACTTTGAGGAAACAAACTGCGAGCCTTTAGCAATGCTTCGCCTAGTGGCAAAGTTGAGTTGCCCGCACTTCTCTACATGTATAAGATGTGTAACTTTTCAGTATTTAGTTTGACAGTGTAGCTAAACCACTTACAATTGCTAGTTTGTAATTTAACAAACTCAATTACTTAGTAGAAATTACGGAACTCAAACAGATATATATACTTCTTTCTCTATTTCAGGTAAACAAACAAATGTTTCACACCCAAATATTTCGATCTACAACTCGAGATACGGGTGAGTTCAGTCACATATACTCTAAGAGTAATAACCAAATTAGTTGTCAGATTTCTATTGTAATAGGAAAACTTCAAATACCAATTAATCAAGGTGTACCTTATCCCAAGAGTGCCCGAGGAACTCATTCACACTAACAGCATCTTGAGCATACATTAGTGGGGAAATCCAAAATCCCCAAATCCACCAACTAGGGATCCTATCTGTCAAAGTCGTAGAGCCGAGGTTGAATCCATCAGATTTTCTACGGAATACAGAAATACAAAAAATTAAATATATTCAATTGAAGACTTAGTTTACCTCTTGAAATGATGTATCCGCCAAGGGCCATGACTATCAACATAGCAAAAGATCCGAAAGTATTCGCCACAATCATATTGCGGCCAAGGGAACCCATCAGACGAAACAGAGCTAGAGACATTTGATGAAGAAAGAAGTAGAGCAGCGATTGCCGAAGAAATCTGTAGTGTTCTGTTAAATATTAATGCAGATTCTTCACACACCAAAACCTCATTATCTGTGTGTATAAAATCTGAAAAATTATCAGGTTCACCTTGTGAAGTTCGGATCAAACCCGACCACATAGTATGTTACTGCCACCCAGAAACCAGACTCTATCAATGAAGTCGGAATGCTCAAGAGCCATGAAGGCAGGGTATATGCCCAACAAGGGTAAAAGTGCAAGTCCCTGTGCTTGTATATAATCGGAAGCTTCGCCACCAGCATGGAAACCTCGGTGAAACCATTAAAAAGAATAATCACCATCGAAAAATACAACTCTCCCAGATAAAGACCCGCATCATCAATTGTATCATGACGCAGTGTAGCCCGGCAAAACACACTCATGGTAATCAGAGCAACCAAAAGGAGCTGGAAAAGAACCAAATTCAAATGCTCAATACGACTATGAATAATAAATAACCTTTCTATAGGTTTGTTTTGTTAAACAATTTGATATATTTACCTGTACAAATTTAAAAACATAGATAAACATATTCCGCTTCATAAGCAGCACTTGCCAATGATAGTTGGTCTTAAGAAGTTCAATTTTCTTGACACCATATTGAGAAGATGATAAGGCTGCAGGATGACTGTAGCGCCTATCGTATGGGATATCCAGTTCCTCGGATAAACTCTTCCCAATGTTGTATGAATTAAAAGCTTCGGCAAATCTTATAATCGGTATGAAACGATAAGGCTGATCAGGTAAAGACCAGTATTGCTCTTGGTCCTTCTTCGATACAACCTGCACGAAACAAACAACTTCAGTAAATATGTAAAGAAAGACAGCAACACACAGTATGCTATATTAAACCTTAAACGTACTTCTTGAAGGAAGTCTGCTGCATTTTTCCGCTCTGGACAGCGAAAACCCATATATGCAAAGAAGTCAAGGACAGATGTACGAGGTCCCTGGTACACAATCTTTCCCTCAGACAAGAGAATAATGTCATCAAATAACTCGTAAGTCTCAGGTGCTGGCTGAAGCAGAGAAATCACGGTGGTTCCATCAAGTGCACGGGTTGAATGTTTGAGGTACTTGATGATTTGGTATGTTGTCGAACTATCAAGGCCATTTGAAATTTCATCCATAAACAACACTCTTGAGGGACCCACTAGTAATTCACCTGTCAAGTATATCAGCAAAGTGAGATTGTAATTGTATAATCAACGTGTTTTGACCGAAAAAATCACTATTTTAGCCTATGTACCTGTTGTCAAACGTTTTTTTTGACCACCGGAGATCCCTTTAATCATTTCATCTCCAACCAGAGTATCCGCACAAAGGTCCAATCCTAAAATCTTTAAAAATCCATTTGTTACTAGGATGACATAATTATATGAAACAGCTTTAATATCTTAACATCACCAGTTATTTATTATTACCGATGACACGATCGGATTGAACACACAAAACTCTCCCTTTATGTGAAAACATTAGCCTGATTATCTAGAGAGCTACTGAATTTTGCCCTTTTCCAGCTTTATATATCTTCTAGAAATAGACAAGTGTGTTGCCTTACATTTTATGTGTTAAGTTCGACCCAGATCATAATGGTGATTCTAAGCATTGCCTTTTACCTTTTCTATATGCTTAACAACCATAGCATTTGGTTATGCACTCTGTGCTTATAATTCGTCAGTCTCAAAAAAGATCTTGTCCCAAACTAGACGCATTCACCTTATCGAAATTTGAAGTAGTCTTAACAGTGGGACATTATCAACCAGCAGCAAACGTCTTAATGAACCTAGTTTGATATCCATTCTTGATTCTTCCAAGGAACGGAATCTACGGTGGAACTTCATCAATCAGCAGCAAGGGCTTCTCCAACCCTAATACTTACTGGAGTTTACAAGATAGGTAAGTTACTAGCAGCAAAAGTTTCTTAGAGCCTACTGCTTATGGAGTAGAGTATGAAGCTCCGAAGATATTTCCTAGGTTTAAATAATTTATACTTCCTAAAAACTATACACAATCAGAATATTTACCCTTTTCAGAAATAATGTAATAAAAATGTGTTGGATGAGAGCCATCAAGATTTCAGAAGCAGTTATCATGGTTAATATCCCGAGTGTACCTTCAAAATGTACTCAACCAGAAGACCGGTCTCAGTTCCCTCCAAAGATAATGCCTGTACAACGAAAACAAAAACTTACAGACTGTTTAAGTTTGGTGAGGATAGTCCACTTTGTACTGAATTCTACTTGTTTCTTTTTAACATATTTGACATGTGAATAACGAAAATCAACGAAAACGAAGCATCCCAATTATTAAAAAAAAAAAAAAAAAAGAATACATGTACCTTCATGAAAATATCAAGATCTTCGTCAGGCTTTGTTCCAGAAATCTTCTCTCTTCTCGAGAGTTCCAGAAGCATATCTGTAGATTATTTCAAGGGTCAGCATTCCGATTACGTCTTACCTATTATACACTCGCAGAACTTTATCAGGCTTACCATATTTATAACCAACACCTTGACAGCGTGCGGAGAAGTCAAGTGTTTCTCTTACAGTCATCTCTGCAACATGCCAATCTTGTTGACTCACATAAGCGGATGTCCTTTGGGGTACGAACTCTTTCAGACCATGTCCGTTGTAGGTAATGTTACCTGACACCTTAAAGAGATCAAGATTTCAGTGCGCTAAAAGTTTCAGTTAGCATTATTAATAAATTTTTGTACCTTTAGATCAGATTTAAGGAGTCCAGCAAGTGCTAACAGCAGTGTCGTCTTTCCAGAGCTTGGAGGTCCTAATAATAAAGTTAACCTGAACAATAACAAAACAAGCACATAATTAGATAGATGAACAAATTCATAATGATTAAACTAATGATAAGAATTAAATCAGTACGTGCCTTCCTGGTCGAACTATCCCACTGATATCGTCTAGAATTGTTAGAGTTCTTATATTACCAGAGTGTATCCTTAGCTTCCTGAATAAAGCCTTACATTGAAGAATTGAAAAAGAAAAAAAATAGGTTAGATATTAAAAAATTAATTGCTAAGCAATAAGAACTCGAGAAAAACAATCGATGTACCTCGGCCATGTTGATGATGAAATTTGATATTGTAGGTAGAGCTCTACTGCCAGTTTGGACAGATGATTCGATTTTTAAATGGTGAAATCTAACTTCAACCTTCGGGAATTCCAGATCAACCCTGCGTTGTTAAAGCATGGTGCTTAAAAATTCATAAACTTGAACAATGCATCTTTGTTTTTAACAATACAACTGAGCTTAGAAGATGGAAGATAAGTAATCAATACATAATAGTGTTAAGATGATGGCTTCCATACAGAAAGTGATAGCGTAAAATATCTGAAAGATTCACTACCACCATATTAACACTACATGGTAAGCCAGTCCTTGAGTTTGTGATTTGGCAATTGATGTTATGCTCGTGAAAATATTTCTTCATGAAGATTTTTCGACGAGTAATTATTTCAACCATAATCGGAGTCGTTTTGAGCTTCTTCTTGAATTCGTGTAATATCTTATTAGCTAAGTGCTTGTTTTGTGCCCATAGGCCTATATGATCATATCATAAATTCTTAATTCATTTAGGCCTCGTTTGGTTTACATGATAAGATTAGTCAAAATAAAATTAAATAACTTAATGAAATCCCAATTATATTAAATAATCTTTCTAAAAGGCTAGATATGCCATATAAAATAATATTTTCGGGTCGACCCGAAAATTTATTGGATTTAGTTCAATTATTTAATTAATCATAGCTAATCTCCCGAACCAAACCAGACCTTAGTCAATTAACCATAATTAGTCTCATCCCATATATTCATTAATTTAGTAGCCAGAACAATTAATTGAATCAAAGAATGAAAAAATATTACTCAAAATAGTTATGATAATTGATGAGCCAAGTAGAATGATTCGAAGATTCTAGAAACATAAATTGACCCTTGGGCAAAAAAATGGAAGCGGCAAACACTAACCTGTCAAAGCGGCGTCGTACGCGGTTGAAGAACTTCTCCCAATCATCGTCGACGGAGCTAATCAGCCGATCCAGTACGATTTTCTGCTCCTCCGCCTCGAGTTTCTGCACGTCGATCTGCTTCGAATCGCCGACCATGTTCCTGAAGATCCCCATCCTGACGCGGCGGTACGTCGGCAGCCGCTCAAGCGCCGCCCACCGCAGCGCCTCCTCGTCGTCCCCATCCTCCCTGAACGACTCCGAACGCGCCGACAAATTCTCGGCCGAGTTCCACATCGAAAAATTAACAGAGCAAGTTGTTGTTTGGTAGGGGGCTTAAACTTTTAGAATGGAAAAAAATGCGGCGGTGGGAGATGGAGTAAAGGCGAATTTTCTAGCTGGCATTGTTGGTTGGATTCCATTAATGCTGTGAGGGATTACGGTTGAGCTCTGCATTAATGGCGCTTGGCCTTTTTTTCACCCCCAAAATGCATGTGTTTGTTGAATTTCTGCCCCCATTCCACACTACTTTTTTAATCTTTTTTCTCCTGTTTGCATGCCTTTTTAATCCAATCGTTTGCTTTCTTTCACAATTTCAATCAATTCATTTTTCCCAAACTCGCCACATGCACGTCAAAATCTCACGGCCCCATTTCTGTACTGAACGTCGAATTTTTTTCTTCGAGGTACAACCTTTTTAACGCAAGGTACTAGCACGAATTTAGCCTGGTACTAGTTCTTTTTCTTTTTCGAATTGTTGTGAAGAGGGTATGGAGCATTAAATGCTCATCCGCTTCGGACAGAAATGGCGGGCCTTTATGGAGAGAGAGTTTGTTGGGGGTTTATCCTCACGCGCTCACGTCCACGATTGACTTGTACTCTCCCTAGCTATATAGAAGCGCGCTTTTAAGTAAGAATCGCTAGTGATATTACTCCATTTCTTATCAAAGATGGGCTTTTATTCTTTTATAGTAGATGGGCCTTTTCTACGAATTCATGGACTTTTTAATTAATTTAAGGGTAATTACATGTACACCCCTGAGACATGCTAAAATAACTTTAATGTCCATGTAGTATCGGTAATTACAATCACCCCTGAAACATTGTTCGAAACCCTAATGGAATACTGAATTGGATAAGCTATTTCGTTACGGTTCTAACAGACTATTATTTTTAGGCAGTGGTGGAGACAACATAAAGCTTGGGGTGACATGACTAGGGTTGGGATTGGGTTGGTTTTATCCATCAACCGACACATTACCGACCATATTTTTAGGTGGATAGTCAATTTTTAACCGACTCATTGGATCGAGTCAAAAATTTGAATCAACCCATCTATAATGGGCTGGGCCGGTTGGTGGTTTCTAATATTATCAAAAGTTGGTTGACCAATAGTTATTGGTCATCTAACTATACTATCAAAATTTTATTAAAAATATAAAATAAAGGCCGTGTTTTGTTAAGTGATTATTGGAATTTTCAAAATAATTATTATTTTAAATTTTAAAACAATCAACAAAGGAAAAAAAAATTGACCTAAATCTTCTATCAGTTTCTTTATGCCCAAGCTTAAACAAACATCCCACAAAACTTCACTAAATCTCTTGTGCATGTTTGAAATTACTTTGAATTTTCTATTTATATTTTTTTGTTAAATTGTTATTAATTATTTTGAACTGATAAATGATGATCGCACCATGGCATTACGCAAAATGTGGATATTTTTACTCCAAAATTTGATTTTTTTTAAGTGAACTAGGTGGCGGGTATAAACTATCAACCGATCCATTGCGAAACCAAATATTCAGTTGCCAACCATCAACCGATCCACAAAGGTTGGGTCGGCAACGGTTTTCAAATTGAGCAAAAATGGTTTGACGGATGGTTCGATTTTTAGGCTGGTAATCGACCGACCCAACCCAGTCTCAGTCCTAGACATGACTCTCCTAACATTTCTTAAATTATTATTATTTTATATAAGATTTATAGATTTTCGTCTATGGTAGCATTAACGGCAACACAGAAAACAAATATAGTGCATATCGGTCCCAAAAACATGAAATCTTGACTCCAATAATTATTTCAGGGGTGTAGGTGTAATTTGCCCTTAGTTTAATTCATGTGGTGGAGGTTCATGTATGAATTAATTAACTGCTATTGAATGTCGTCATGTGGACAATTGTTGTCAAATATAAGGTAACAATTTTCCCATAGTAATTCTTTTTCACTAGAAACTAAACTTGTGATACTGGTTCTAATAACACTTTGTATGAATGTTTGCGCTACTATTCAGCCAATCAATAATTAGAAAGATCCAGACTCAAGGCTTGTAGTGCATTCAGGAGACACAAGCACGCACGACACCTGATTGTGATATCAAAGCCTCATACACTCAATTTGGAATCGCTACGTGGTTACCATATATGTTAACTAATTCAACATTCACAATTCGAAATCAAAATCGATCCATGTGTGACGAATCTATTAAAGGTTGTTATGTTCCAACACATATTAATCAATCAATCCGATCAACGAGTTACGCACTAAAAAGTAACTCAAAACATACGATCGTGATTACCTGTGACCAAATATCACCAACAAAGATTCAAAAAATATTTTCGAGTTGAACCATCCAACCAAAAAAAACTAAATAGATTAAAATATAATCATATTAAAAAAAAATATATATATATATATATATATAAATAAAGTCTAAACTCGACAATTCCAAACCGTAGCCGGATCCTTTTGAAGGCGATTATGAATCATATGATTTCGAACTGCGGACTACCGATTCACGACCCGTGGTTGTGTCTTAATGGACCGGGTCGATCCAACACAAAAGTGATTGGGCCATTGCCTTTGAAACAACACACAAAAAGGCCCAATTGGCGCCAAAAAAAAATGATCGGACACAAGCCCAAAAACAATGCAGCGCGCGACGGAGCGGCGGCCGACTTATTATCTACAAATAAAATTCAAAAAATTTCCATCCAGCCAACACTAGCCCTCCACGTCAGCCTACGCAAGAGTAGCATATATATAGATACATTTGCACGTACATACACACACGCAGACATAATAAAAAGTTCTACTAACGGTGGAGCTTTTTGGAAACCCTAGCCCCCGAATCACACGGGATACACTATGCAGCTTGGTTCTGAGCTGAGCTTGGATTTGATTCGCCGATCTGCTTGAAGCAGCTGTCCGGAGTCAACGGAACGAAGTTTTTTTCTGCTGCTTTCACTTTTGGGGTCAACTTAGTAGGTATTTTCTGAATTTTGTTCTTCTCTCAATTTTGAGGGGTTTGCTTCTTTGAATTTTGATTCGGATTTTTGTGGTGGTGCGATGCACGTTTCATTTTGTTATTCCGGTGTGTGATTCCGCGGCGGAGCTTGTTCTTGTTTGTGGTGGTGCGGCGGTGTTTTCTGGTTTGTGTGTTGGGTTCTGTAATTCCATATTTCCATTTGCGTGTTCTGTATTTCTTTGTCTGTAAATTTGATTAAATTTAGTGGTAAATTGATTGCTATGTTTGGATGGAGTTTTTGGTCCGGATTATTTTCTTTAAATTCTTTTATATCTCCGATGATGTGAAATTTCTCTCTGTGGATTTGATCAATATTGTTGAAAGTATGGTTTTCGGGTGTGCTTCCGTATATTCTTCGGCCATCGCCAATTCTTTCACCAAAGTTTACACTAATTAATGCAAAATTTGTTTTCTTGGTTGAATTTGGTTTTGAACATCTCCATTTCACTAGATCGAACTTTATACGAAATGATAATCTATAAAAAAATTCCTTGATGGAGGTGGGATGGAATACAGTTAGCTTGTTTGGCAAGAGAGTCATTGGCCGTTGGCAAATAGCTTCCTTCTAACTTGTTCGGGAATTTTCTCTAGATAGAGTGTGTGATCAAGTTTTTTCATGTGATTTGTGATTAGTGATTCCCAATTAATAGTAACATATTTACTTTGGGGTTTATTTTAGAGTAATAGCTAGTGGTTTTCAAAAATACTCTTACGAAATGTCAATTAACGGTAAAATATATACTTTGGGTTTTATTTTAGAGTAAAAGCAGGCGAAATGTTATCTCAACAATATTCTCACGCATGTGTAATTTTTTGGAATATGATCATTCTGCAGCCAGTACATACCTAAAAAACTTCGACAACGAGTGCAGTAATGCATGTAGGTATATTCCTGGTGAATAGATTTTTAATATCGAGTGCGAAGTGCCTCACATTCTCGCCATATCTCAAAGTTGACTTCATTTTATTTTGATAAACATCTCTTGTGCTTACAGATATTATCCCTTTTAATCCTGAAATTGTTGTATGTTTATTAGATTTCAGATTTTGCAAAGCCGCGTTTGTTCTTTATTCATAGTGTTTATCTTGTATTGTTTTGGCTGCAGTTCTATAGCTGTTGGAAAAAGCAGTGTATCAACATCTTAACATGCCTAAAGAGAGAAGAGACCGTTCTGTATCCCTCGATACATCGAGGTCATCCCCTTTCCCTTGCAGCTCTAACTGCTCCGTTCATTCCGTGACCAAAAACCCACTAGAGGATGAAAAAAATATAAAAGAATGGGAAGATGCTCGGTGTCCAGTTTGTATGGAGCACCCCCACAACGGCATCTTACTTATATGCACATCACACGATAAAGGGTGCCGCCCTTTCATGTGCGACACGAGCTACCGCCACTCCAATTGCTTCGACCAGTTCCGTAAATCATCCGACGATGCTTCAGCAGAGGAGGCAGCACATAATACTCCGGTGGAAGTCGTACCGAACCTGATATCCGCCACAACTATTCCGGAAGCTTCCGAAAGTCTCGAAGAATCAGTATCTGAAAATCCTGAGATCTCGAAGCTCGTTTGCCCTCTTTGCCGAGGGCTGATAAACGGGTGGACTGTAGTCAAATCGGCACGCAATTTCATGAACGCGAAATCAAGAAGCTGTGCATCCGAGACGTGTGATTTTGTAGGCACGTACACGGATTTGAGGAAGCACGCAAGATTGGTGCACCCGCTTGTGAGGCCAGCGGATGCTGATCCAGAGAGGCAGAATAACTGGAGGAGACTCGAGAGGCAGAGGGATATGGGAGATTTGCTTAGTACACTTCAGTCTTCTTTTGCTGGTGAAGGGACGACTATCGAAGAGGGCGGTTGGTTGACTGTGTATTTTCTTGTTCGATTTATTGGACCGGGAGGTAGTAGTACCTCGAGCAGATCTATTAGTACCTCGCGGGCCCGCGCACAGGTGGCAATTCGAGGCTCTACGAGAATGCTTTTTGGTGAGAGCTTTGATGGGGAAGCTGCTGATTCGAGGGAGGATGAAAATGAAGCTTCTAACGGTGGGCAAAGTTCGCATAGGCGATATGTGAGGAGACGTTTAAATAATAATTCGGAGAACCAGTGATTGCTGCAAACTATGTGTAAGTGTGTTGTTCCTTTGCAGTTTTGGCTTATCTTTAAAATGCGAAAATTGTTCCTCCTTGAGTTGAATAAGTCGGCTTACAAACGTGGTTATAAGGTCTTTTTTTCTTTGTCATATGTGCATCGGTGCATCGGTGCGGAAGAAAGATGGAGCATCGTTGAATTGTATTTGTATAAATAGAAACTATCGAATTCGATTTTCGGGTGTTCGAATATTGGAGCCTCATAAATCGATTCAGTTGCTCCATTTTGAGGTTCAGTTTCTTCTTGTGTTGTCAAATGTCTACATACATTTCAGTAAATAATATAGTTAGTTGTAAATAGCTTCTTCCTTTTCTTTGAAGAAATCTAGATTTTTATATTATTTAAAAAAAAAATCGAATTTGTGAAATATTTTATTAATAATTGAATTTATGAAAATCCTAATGATGGGGATAGTGAGGCGTGGAGAGTTTGTCGAGCGCGTATGTTTGGAGCGTGTGAATGAATTCGTCTCCAGCCGGATTTTATGGAACTTGTAATAACCTGACAAAATCTCTCCCTAGTATTTTACTTCACCAACTATGTAAAATCATTAATTTAGTATTAGACTTTATTTTAAAATTTATATATTCTTTAAGTGGAAGTTGGTAGCGTGAACATGGAATTTCCAAATGTTGGGATCGCATTGAATTGGCAATTTTTTGAATTGGGGACTTGATAAATATGTGACTGTCTTTAGTAAACGTAGCATATTTTATTTTATAAATTAAATCCCAGAACCGATTCCATGTTCTTCTTTCAAATTGTTATTTTATCAGAATATCGCATTATTAGTTGTCAAGATACAAGTAGATCAAATTTTGTGTATAACTTAGACTAGTGTCTGTCCAATCGCTCGTTTTCCTGGATTTGTGAAACTTTCTTAAATTGAACTGTTCCACCAGTTTATGTGTCTTAAATCCATAAAAACTAGCCGAAAACTATTCGTTGTTATTTAAATTTAGAAATTCAGCAACACTAAATATAATAAATGTAAATGTATGAGTGAACTCTAGGAATTTTATTTACACTAATAAAGTTAAAGTGGTGATAATGTGATTGAAAATTAAAATTAAAAAAATAATATGCATTTTCTAAAAACCGTCATGTATTTATCATTTCAGCTTTATAAATCGTTAACCCGAATTTAGAATTGAAATCTTAATTTAGTACTATTTTCTTAAGGAAACCTACATTCATCTGAACCTTCCCCTTGGAATCTAAGCAAATGGAAATATATTTTTTTTATAGAAATTTCTACCTAAATAAATAAATTACCTTGAAATCATAACGTCACGGATCTGTAAATCGGTATTCATATATAGAAGTAAATAAATAAAATGCTCTAAATTTTGACTGTGTGCTAATAAAAAGAAAAAAAAAAATGAGTGGCAGCAACTAAACTTTTGACAAAATCCGATGGAATGAATAATGGGTCCAGCTCATGACTTACAGCCTGCACTCTTCCAAAGGAAAATGACCACTCACGACAAACGCCAATTCTCCCCCCATCTCCTTATTATTTTTTTATTTATTTAAATCTTATTTTATTTTCAATTTAAATTCGTTCGCGTAAAGCTCACATCGAATTATTGTCCCTTTTCCGAACCGTGAATTCGAAGCACCAAACATCCGTTTCATATACTCCTCCAACACTCTCTCTCTCTCTCCTCTTCACTCTTTCTCTCTCTACCCCCTTTTTACATTCTCTCTCTCTGATATGGCTTCTCGTTGGAATTCGCCGTCAATTGGAGCTCACTGAAGCTGAATTTCCTCTTTTTTATTAACGCAGAAAACGAAAATGGCGGTGGTTCCGAAGCGTTTTGTTGTTTGGCCGGCTGTCCTCGTCGTTTTCGCGGCGATGCTGCTGTGCCGCTACCGAGTTCACTCGGAGCCGACTCAGGACAAGCAGGCGTTACTCTCGTTTCTATCGCAGGTCCCCCACGAGAAACGCCTCCAGTGGAGCGAGTCCGACTCGGCGTGCTCCTGGATTGGCGTGGTGTGCGACCCTACCAACTCGTCGGTTTACTACCTCAGACTCCCCGGCGTCGGACTTGTCGGCCAGATTCCGCCCGACACGCTGAGTCGACTCAGTCAGCTACGAGTCCTCAGCCTCCGGTCCAACCGCCTCTCCGGTCCAATTCCGCCCGATTTCTCCCAGCTTAAGCTCCTCCGCAATGTCTACCTCCAGGACAACCAGTTTTCGGGAGAGTTCCCGGCGAGTCTCACCGAGTTGACTCGGATCGTCAGGCTGGACCTCTCCTTCAACAGATTCGCCGGACCAATCCCATTCTCCGTCAACAATCTCACCCATCTGACCGGCCTCTTCCTACAGAACAACGCCTTCACCGGGAAAATCCCGAGCATTGCCCCACCCGGACTCACCGATTTCAACGTGTCCAACAACCGCCTGAACGGTTCGATCCCAAGCGCGTTAGCGAAATTCCCCGCATCCGCATTCGCGAATAATTTGCAGCTGTGCGGCGGTCCGCTGCCGCCGTGCAGCCCGTTCTTCCCCTCACCGGCGCCGTCACCTTCATTACCTCCGGCCGCGATCTCCACCCACAAGAAAAACAAAAAACTCTCCACAGCCGCAATTATCGGAATCTCAATCGCCGCCGGTATACTCCTCCTCCTCCTCATACTCGCCCTAATTTTCCTCATTCTGAGAAGAAGCAAAAAGAAGGAAACCACAAAAGTCCAAAAACCCCCAGCAATAGCAGCGTCGAGAGCACTGGCGGAGGCCGGCACATCCTCATCAAAGGACGACATCACCGGTGGATCGGCGGAGGGAGGAGAGAGAAACAAGCTAGTCTTCTTCCACGGCGGCGGATACACCTTCGATTTGGAAGATCTACTCCGAGCATCGGCGGAGGTTTTGGGCAAAGGAAGCGTGGGCACAAGCTACAAAGCGGTGCTGGAGGAAGGCACAACCGTGGTGGTGAAGAGGCTGAAAGACGTCGCCGCCGCGAAGAAAGAGTTCGATCAGCAAATGGAGATTTTAGGGAACACCAAGCATCAGAATATTCTGCCGCTCAGAGCTTATTACTTCTCAAAGGACGAGAAATTGTTGGTGTACGATTACATGCCCGCCGGCAGCTTATCTGCACTCCTCCATGGTAATTCTCTTCACCTTCTTCTTCTACATTTACTGCCCTTTTTTTTTCTATTTAATTCTTATTTTTATTAATTTCTATTTTTTTTAAATTAAATTTTACCCGAAAAATAAAATAGGAGCACGAATCTCTCGTGAACTCCAATTTAATAAATTAAACTCGCACAAATTTAGATATCACACTCTGGAACAAAATCATAGCTAGGTTGGCTTGCCTCCAATTATTGGGGGAAGATAAATAAATTTGTACGTGTCCTCATTAATTAATTAAGTGACTGTTCTGCACACAAAAATGTGGAGTTAAATTGAATTAAATTAGTATAAATGGGTTTTGACTATGGGGGATGTGAATTTTGCAGCATGTGCTGGGGCTTAAAAAAGCCATAGTAGCCAGATGTTTGAATGACCCAAGGGCATCTTTTTTTGGCATTCTTGTAATTAACTCAACATTTATTCCTTACAGTCTTTTACGGTTCTACCCCTCTTTTAATTTTGAGTAAAATATGGTCACTCCTTAGGAATAGTTATAATCACTTTCTTTAACTATAAATCTTCTTACACGGTTATTTTTACGGTGTCAAATTTAGTGAAATTTTCTAGATTATATGGAATATATTCTCCAGTTTGTAACCGTTTTATCCCATTTAAACTCTACATTTTGAAATAAGATGATCATAAAACATGTCTCTTGGCTTGTAAATACTAGATTGTGGTGCATCAGAAACTGTATTTTTGCACAAAACGAGTACACGCTAGAGAATATTTCACGAAATTGAAAAGATTCTGATGAATTTGGCACTATAAAAGAAGACGCGTAAGAAAATTCATAGTTAAGATAGGTGATTGTAATTATCCAAACATGAGGGGCTTTTTGTAAGTTGATCTCACCTCGAGGTGGCGTAATTTACCATAAAAAAATATTTTTCATGAAGTACACTATTTTATTGCTCTAGTTCAATGTGTGTGTACTGTATAAACTATGCATAATTATGATTTGTTATAATGAAATTTATGTGTAGTATAATCATTTTGCTAGAAGAAAACCCGAATATCTGCCGACATTCTTTTCCCAACTTTAATAAAGAAAAGGAATTGAAGATGATGACAGCCCTATTTCCTTTTCTCTAAAATAAATAAAATATAATAATTAGAAAAATCATAGAAGTTTGCCCCCACGTTGGTAGTGGTCACACTATTTATTATATTGTCTTCCCAAATTGCCCTTGTTGCTTTCGTGCTTTTGAGCCATCACTGCCAATCCATTTCTTACATAAAGATTGTTGCTTTGCCAGTCCGGTGCACATGCAGAGATACTGTGTGACATTTTATATATATATATATTCCACGTTCCTTAAAGAAAAAAGAAAAAGGTTTTAACAACATGTCCAGTTTGGTATCTGCCTTACACCCTGCCACGTTATTCAGAATATTTTTATTTTCTATATAAAAGAATTGTTTTTATTTTCTAAATTAATGAGTATGCTTTTTTCTTTCTCTGTGGTGCAAAATTGGGTACTTGAACTTATTAGTATTATTATCATCATCATTTTAAATTATTATTTTGATTTTAAAATAATAATATTTATTGTATCCAAATTCAAAATTGTATTACAAAATGCTTCTCTATTCTTCAATAAGATCTTGATTAACTCTAAGGCCGGAAGGCCTGAACAGAGTACATTTTGTTGTGGGACTTTCTCGCAAATATGCCGTTCCAGGACTTGAATCGAATTACGATCAACTTACTAATCTGTTGCTTACTCTTTGTTAATCTGATTTATTAATTATGGTTGTTACTCTGTTAGCTGTACCAAGAAAATAAAATGTAGGTGGAAAACATAGCAAATAGAATAATCAAATTCGAGTTTTACCTTTTCCAATCTCACTTCTTCTTCAATTCTTTCTATTCGTGCATATCTATCATGAACTTGAGGTAGTATTATATATTTATTATCCCGTTTACATTTTAATAAGATCTCGTTTATATTGTTTGTATATATATAGGCAGCCGAGGCTCAGGGCGAACACCTCTAGACTGGGAAAACCGACTCAGAATAGCACAAAGTGCAGCAAGAGGACTGGCCCACCTCCACACATCATCAAAGCTAGTCCACGGTAACATAAAATCCTCCAACATACTCCTCAAACAAGACAACTTCGATTCTTGCATCTCCGATTACGGTCTCAACTCTCTCTTCTCCAACGCAACCCCACCAAACCACCGCGTCACGGGCTACCGGGCCCCCGAAGTTCTCGAAACCCGAAAAGTCACCTTCAAGTCCGACGTCTACAGTTTCGGAGTACTAATCCTGGAGCTATTAACCGGCAAAGCGCCCAACCAGGCTTCGTTGGGCGAGGAGGGGATCGATCTGCCGCGGTGGGTGCAGAGCGTGGTGCGTGAGGAATGGACCGCTGAGGTTTTCGATGTCGAGCTGATGAGGTACCATAATGCAGAGGAAGAGATGGTGCAGCTGTTGCAGATAGGTATGGCGTGTGTCGCTATTGTACCTGATCAGAGGCCCACCATGGGAGATGCTTTGAGAATGATTGAGGATATGAATAGAGGCGGTGATACTGACGATGGGTTAAGACAGTCGTCCGATGATGCTTTGAGAGGATCGGATAGCCAAACGCCTCCTACGGAATCGAGGGCTTCGCCACCTGGCGTCACGCCATAGGTCGGTTGAGGAATTATCACCAGACTGCAGCTTGTGTAGCTTTTTTTATATATATATATATTTAATTCTTTTGGGGGGGGCTTTGATTGATTAGCTTTCTTCTCTTGTTTGATTATGCAAATGATGTTGTTGTTGTTTATTGTTGTTATTATTTTTTCTTTTAACTATTTTTTTTGGGGGATTGTGTAGATTATGGTAGATGCAAAGTTGAATTGGTTGTGGGTGTTTGAGTATTCCATGAACTGATTGGAGTTGACCCTGTTATTATTTCAGTCGTTTTCTCTTTGATTCTTTTTTGGAGAAGATAAAAAAACAACTTTTATATATCATTTGCTTCTTGCATTTGGCTCGTTCTGATTTTTAACTATTATTCTTGTGTTGAATTTCGATCTTTTATTTTACAACGAAAATATGTTGAGATGATACAAGAGACGAAGCTACAATAACTCGAAATAAGACGACAGCAGCTTTGGTAGTTTTGCTGCTTCAATAGTAACTTTTGCGGAAACTTTTATTGGAACTGCGTCGTTCAAACATTCAACTCTCCCACATCGGAGGAAAGGGGTTCAAACAGAGCTCCTATTTCGGCGGTATTCACTTCTTCCAAGCTCGACGGATCCCACTTGGGGTTCTAACAAGAAACAGCAAATAATAGTAATCAACAACATTGCCAGACAACTGTAATTAGTAAACCGTTAAATGTTTCAATTCTAGTTAGACAATTACTTGGGTAGACGCTACTTAAAAGTTGAAGAATTTAACCTGATCTTTGTCCACTAAGACAGCCCGAACACCTTCAACAAAATCATTCCGAAGAGAAGATCTTAGCGCAATTCGATACTCAGCTTTCATCACACCAGCCAGCTGGACAACAACAGCACATGTTTGAGGACAAAAATCAAAGGTTGAGAAAACGTAAAAAAATAATAATAAATAAACTACGAGAATGATCAACGTCACAGTAAAAAAGTAAGAAATATTTACCTTAGATAGATCATCGTTACTCTTGCCTTGGGCAGAGGCCACTCTTGAGAAATGTTCTTGTGTGAGGCAAAGAGAGAAGGGGGCTCCTTTCTTAATCCCTTGCAAGGCATCTTTCGCCCATTCTGCCACTGAAAAAATTTGCGGGGAGCCAGAGTAAAGGCTAATTAATTAACAAATGTTAAACATTTGAATATGAATAAATAATAACGTGTCAGTATGTCACTAATACTCACCCAAGGTATCGCCACTCAGCTGATCATTTTCCAGCTCCTTTATTACCTCCTTAATAGGCTTGTTACTTCCAAAGGTTGAAATTATCCGAGGTAAAAGCAACTTCAGACGAGGTTCAGACTCAGGGTTTTTGCTATATCTTTCCAACAATGATTTGATGTCCTGATCAGGGTCCTCAGACCTACATTAATTTAACAATAAAAAAAATAAAAAACTTAAGGGATAGTGTTTCTGAAAAGGTAACGCCCAATATTCTCATTGTCTCCAGTAGTGCCCCCAGATAACAAGCAAGCAATACTTAAAAAAACGAAGAAAAAACTTTATCTTAATATGACAACTTTTACCAATTGTTAAGTAAAAACTCAATTTCAGCATAGCAATATTTATCTTAGGAAGGAAGAAACATACAAGGTGGTTGCCACGAGATCTTCCTTTAATGCAGCCAAGCTTCCAGAAGGCACATAATGTGTTCCCAGACCAACATAGAGAGCATCCGCTGGCGTTGATATCCTATTGCCAGTCAATCCAAGGTAGGCCCCTGGAAAAAAAAAATTAAGGGAATTAAAACGAGAATGAATAAACTGCACAATCATAATGGACATGATCCTCAATTTGCATTTTGATCAATTGGGTTGTTCCTTAGTGTTAGGATTGATGGATTCTGCAGCTATCGAATTCAAATAAATAATAAAAAATCCATTGAACTTTTTGGATGGTTTCGAATAACTGAGAGCTCCCATTTTGAAATACTTTTGTAATCTATGATATGCACACGGCTAATGAGAAGAGTTGAATATAAAAGGAGTCAGCTTGTAGATTGTCAAATGGAACCAAGAACGATGTTTCTTACATAGAATATTGAACCTGAGTGCGGACAATATTGTAGCTATATTTAATTACAAGGCAAAATAAACGTATTTGGTTACCATATGACAATTTAGTGTTAGCGGGGTTAATTTGGAGATATAGGAATTCTCAGAGCCAAGCAAAACAACTTATCAGCGAAGACTAACCTACTGCTCCTTCTCCAGGACTTTTTGCTGCTATATATGCAAAGCCAACATCTGGAAACAAGCCGATGCCATTTTCTGGCATAGCAAGGACCGTTTTCTGATATAAAATTATACCAAAAAAAAAAAAAGAAAGAAAATTGCAGGCAATTAAGATATTTACCCTTTAATCTGTCACACCAAAAATATACAGGAGTAGAATGTTGATTACCTCGGTGATGAGCCTGTAACGACCATGACCAGACAGCCCAATGCCAAATCCCATTGTTATGCCATCCATGAAGCAGATATAAGGCTTCTTGTACTCGGAAATTTTGCATATTAGAGAATATTCAGCAGTGAACACCTAGTGAAGAACACAAAATAACGAGGAATCGTTTCTCAGAAACACACAAGAAGAAACAACTATGACAAAATATGCATAAGATGCATATCAACAAATACAAAGATTGAACAGTAAGCAGGACAATGAGTTGGCAACGTTAATCTAAATTTCAGGCAGGATGAACTAAGTTCAACCACAATAGCTTCTTGAACAGTTAAAATAATTATACCGACTATTTGTAGTATAATTTTTTTAAGTTCATGCAACCACGCATCGTACTGATAAAAGTAAAAATCTGTCTAGAAACAGGTAACATCAGAAAATAAGAATGTTTTTGCCTCATTGAAACTGGTTGACACCGCTAATTACATTGTTCGACAGTCAACTAAGTAAACAGTTGCATCTAGCAGCAAAAATGATTTTCTATAACCGGAAAACTCCTGATTATGATTCTTAATAGTTTATCAAGTTATTAGACGCTATAAGACCTCAATCATGTCTGACTGTTGTTTTTTTGTCGTAATCTGCTTCACATCACCACCTGCACATAAAGTAATTAACTAAGAGCCTTACCAGCCAGCAATCCAAGAATCCCGCCAGTCAATTTTCCAAAACGGGTTCAAAACTTATATATAACTATGAAAGCAAATAAAGCAGAGGGTACACATTTCTTTCACACAAACAACTACCACATGAAAACACTGCATACAACAAGCACTCGTATCAATTGGTAGAACATATTTCATGTCAACGGAAAAACCTTTTGCACAAGAGGTGTCGATTTGTCCTTCTGAATTTCAGCAACAACACCCTTAATATCCATTCCTGCATTGATCATCAACATTTACCCTCAAAAGCCTTGCAAAATCACTCACGAAAAAAAAAACGTGCTACACACCAAACTCCGATTAAAACAATACTTTCGCAAACTTAAACATACATCGAATTGTAATTATTTAGGGAAATAATATCACACATGGCACAATAATCAGATTACATCAACAAACAAATATAATCTCCGATTATAACCTGCCGAAAATGCACGAGATGAACTACCCTCGACGACAACGCATTTCACCGTCGGATCAGTTTCCCAATCATCCAGAAACTTCTTATACTTAATGTCCATATCTACATCAAAATCCAAAAAAATTAGCAACCGATTATTATTCTGGCAGAAATCAACACAAACTCCATCTTCAGTTACTAACTAAGCCAGCAAAAAAAAAAAAAGTAGAGAAGCAAAACCTAGATTCATAGCATTGAGAGCTTTGGGGCGATCGAGAGTGATGAGAGCGACGCCGTTTGGAAGCACATTCCCTCTGACGAACTCATCCGCCATGATTGCAATTGATCGGAGAGTGAAATTGTAGGGTTTGGTCGATCGGAAGCAGGTTCGTGTGGGTATAAGAAGAGGTTGTTGAATCAGCTGCCGAAACAAACTTTGCATCTTGTCCGCTAGACCCAGTTCGATTTGCCCACTTCTTTAATTTTATTTTATTAACCCCACAATTATTGCTAATTACTGTGCCAAATTATTTGTCTTTTTTATTCGAATTATTTATCATTTTAAATTCTCAATGTACATTCATTCCATTTTTTTATTATTATTTTGCTATGTAGCACGGAAACCGGAAAGACGGTACAGGGAAACGACATGTTCCAAAAAAGGGATATAAGAACATGTAAATATTAAAAGTATATGGGTGTATTTATAAATATGCTATTTAAACATATATACGTTTTTATTTATATATAAACTATTTTATATATTTTCATACAAACATATTCAGAACAAAAATCATGTAAATAATTAGGCAAGTAAAAAAGTATTTTAAAATTTGTTATTCAAACTCTTCATAAACTTTTAGAAACTGCAAAATGACTCATAACGTATCCGACAGGTGTTTTCGAGTAAAGGAAGCGAAACGTGTCTGAAATACGAAAAAATATTAAGAAGTTGAAGTCTTCGTGCCACACAGTTATTTTAGTATTGTTATTCTTCATAAATAGTGGAAAAGAACAAGCTGAAAAATTAGAGAGAGAAGAAACTACGAGAGAGTTCTTGCTATTGAAAGAATTCTGACGCTTTGATCTTCTTGTATTTATTGAAAATTATGAACTCTTATTGATTTAAAGTGAAATAAAGATCTCGTTTCCTTTATCGATTCTGTTGGGCCGAACAATTGAATTTGGACGATTTGGAACTCAATTTTTTTTCAAATGAACTTTTAACCTATTTTGGGCTCTAGTAAAACTTGGTTTTAAACTTTTAATATATATATTTGCATAGCTTGATAGGTACATAAATATTAGGATAAATTACAACCACCCCTAAGGTATATTTAATTTACGAAAAAAAACTCTCTTGTTTAGATAATTCTGATATACCCTCTCAACTATGATGTTTTCTTACACTTTTACCCCCATGGTGTCAAATTCAATATAATCATCCAGATTTAGTGGAATGTGCTCTAGTTTGTATTCGTTTTGCGTAAAAATACAGTTTATGATGCACCACAATCTGATATATACAAACCAAAAAACACATATTATGATCATCTTGCTTCAAAATGTAGAGTTCGAATATGATAAAACAGTTACAAAAGTGATAATATTCCATATAATCTCGCAGATTCCACTAAATTTGAAACCGCAAGGATGAACGTGTAAGAAAATTTATAGTTAAGGGGTGGTTGTAATTACCCAAACAGAAGAGGAGTTTCGTAATTTGACCATACCTTAGCGGTGGTGATTGTAATTTACCTAAATATTATTGTAGCGAACAATAATTCTAACAGAAAAAAAAAAATTGAAATCCCACCTGAGTTTACTAACTTTGACCAGGTGAGTAGGTAAGACTCGTGGTGACCATGATTCTTGAACTACATTTTATGTTACACATAACTTTCCACCATTTTGTTCGTTCGTTCATTCACATCAACTATAAGAATAAGTGTAAAATATTCTAACAAATACTTTAACTATGTAAAATAATATAGATATGATTATTCAAACTGTTGAATTATTTATATATTTTAAATATTATTTAATATTATGAAGCTAGTTTACATAAAGAGTACAACGCGTATTTTGGAACCTCTATAATTTTCTAAAAATCGGAAATCCGAGGCGACCGCCTCTCTCGTCTATAGTTAGAGCCAACGCTCCTTTGAGTCCCGATTGTGAGTCCCGATTGTCAGAACCGGCTCTGCGCGCACACACACCAAACAATAATTAAGGTACGGTCAAATCATGGAGTCAACATGCTTTTGGGAAAATAGTTGTTAAATATGTGTGTGTGTGTAGCTTTTCATAACGATAAGAAAAAAGTTAATTAGAAAGAAGAAAAGGTGAAACATTTATTTGAAAAAAGGCAAAAATAATAAAAGAAAGAAATTAAAGGAAGATTGCAAGAGGACACGTAGATTTTGGCTGGAAAGTTTTTGCATTTTTAAAAGCTTGTCCTCCCTCATTTTAATGCTTCCAAATTCTATCTACCATATATCCAATTCAATTATAAAAAAAAACCCACATTATTTTTTTTTATTTTAATTATTTCAATAACTAATTATATATATTTCATCATCCTTTTTACCAAGAAAAGTAGCTTTTTTTAGATATGCAACGAGTTGATGACAAGGTATTTGATTTTTTTTTTTTTTTTTGCTGAATTTGTCAAATATTGTTAGTTATAAAATAACAAGACGATAACCCTCTTCTCGAACTATTTGATTATGGATTAGAGATCACACCAGAAAAGGAATTGAGAACCCGTAATTATCCTCTCGTTTGAGTAATTCAGTAATTTGAATATTCATCCCTTTTTTTGTTGTTCACAATCTGGTGTCATGTAATGTCAAATTTAAAGGAATATTCTAATATCGTTGTAATATTCTCTAGCTTGTACACATTTTATGCAAAAAGATAGTTTCAGACGCACAACAATCTGATATTTACAAGTCAAAAGACGCATCTTATGATCATCTTGTTTCAAGTTAGAGAAGATTCTGTTAAATTTGACACCGTGAAACAATTTATAATTAAGGAAGGTGGTTGTAATTAAAAAAAAAAGTATTTGTGTAATTTGAACTTATTTCAGGGGCACCGATGTAATTTAGTCTATATATAATAATATTCTTGCATGGGATTGGCATGTTGGTTTTTACATGTTATTATTATTCAAGACTGACACTTTTTTGTTAGTGGGTTTCCCTGTGTGTGTGTGTGTGTGTGGATAACTGAATAACAGAAAATTCAAAGAAACGAATCTTTAATTTGTTTTTTTGTTTTTTAATTTAATCTAATTATTTACCATCACCTATACTTTGATCATGTTATTGTTGTGCATGTCATCACTCAGTCACCACAAAAAGGAAACTCTAGAGAGAGAAACAAGAGAGAGAGAGAGAGAGAGAGAGAGAGAAAACTCCATCAAGATTTCTTAGCAATTCTCTTTCCCAAATGCAGTTGCAAAGATTGATATTGTTATCGCCCTTCTTTGTGGTGGTGGTGGTGATGGTGGTGAATATGGCGGCAATGGCGGCGAGCGGCAGCGTGGGGGTAACTGGGGGACAATGGCGAGCCACCAGCTGCCGCCGGAGAGCGTGGTGGACATGCTGAAAGACAACGGCTTCGACAAGGTGAAGCTCTTCGACGCCGACGAGAGCATCCTCGAAGCCCTCTCCGGCACCGGCATCGAAGTCATGCTCGCCGTACCAAACTACATGCTCGAGCAAATGAGCCTCGACTCCGGCGGCGCCGCCGATCTCTGGGTCGAAGCCAACCTCACCGCCTACGCCTACCCCGGAGGCGTCAACATCAGGTTAATTAATCAATCAATTGATCTCCGTTCAGTAAAAAAAAAAAAAACATGCCCACCGGCTGTTTGACATAATGTCTCTTCCAAATTTACAGATACGTCGCCGTGGGAAACGAGCCATTCTTGAAAACCTACAACGACACCTACCTAAAGAACACACTCCCAGCTTTAAGAAACATCCAAGAAGCCATCAACCGGGCCGGGTTCGGAGCCGAGATCAAAGCCACAGTCCCCTTCAATGCCGACATCTACTACTCGCCGGAATCCAACCCGGTCCCTTCCTCCGGCGACTTCCGCCCCGAAATCCGGGATCTCACGATCCAAATCATCCAATACCTCCACTTAAACGACGCCCCGTTTGTGGTCAATATCTATCCCTTCTTGAGCCTCTACAGCAACCCTTACTTCCCCATCGATTTCGCCTTCTTCGAAGCGGGCCCCACCAAAAACAACCACCCAATCAGAGACGGACAAAACCTCTACACGAACGTGTTCGACGCAAATCTCGACACCCTTGTCTGGTCACTAACCAAAGCCGGATACCCCGACATGAAAATCCTCATCGGAGAAGTGGGCTGGCCTACCGACGGAGACAAGCACGCTGACATCGAAAAGGCGAAAAGATTCAACCAAGGGCTCGTGCAGCACGTTCTTGGCAATGAAGGAACACCTGCAAGAAAAGGGCCGATCGATATCTACCTTTTTAGCCTTATAGACGAAGATTCCAAAAGCATCGACCCAGGCAGTTTCGAGAGGCATTGGGGTATATTCGAGTTCGATGGGAAGCCAAAATACGAGCTCGATTTATCCGGTAGAGAGGAGAATAAAGGGCTTGTGGCGGTGCAGGGTGTGAGGTACATGGTTAGGAGGTGGTGCGTGTTGAGACCCCGTGGTAAGGACGACGACGTGGACGATAGAGAATTGGGTAGGAATGTGGATTACGCGTGTAGTTTGTCGGATTGTACGGCTTTAGGGTATGGTTCGTCGTGCAATCATTTGAGTGCTAAGGGGAATGCTTCGTATGCGTTTAATATGTATTACCAATCCAAGAACCAAAACGAGTGGGATTGCGATTTCGAGGGATTGGGCGTGATTACGGAGGAGGATCCTTCGGACAATAAGTGTAGGTTTCCGGTTATGATCGGTTACGGTAATCGGGTGGTGCTTCTGCATAGGAAGGTGGTGAATATCTTGCTTGCTGTTCTTGAAGGGTGTATAGTGTTTCTGCTTCTTGTTTCTTAGGTTTTAATAAATTTATTTTTAATTTTCTATTTTTTTAATAGAGGATGGAAAACAGGGGATGTTGATTAATTAAATTCAAATACATAATTATCTATATTTAAATTTGCTAAGGAAAAAAAAAAAAGAAAAAAAGAATAAAATATAGAGAGAGAGAAGTAAAGATTCCATGAGCAAGTAACTGAGGAATAAAAAGCATTGGCTATTTTCCACATCTGATTCTTGGAAGCAAATAATTCAAGAGAATAAAGAGGAATTGGAGCCCCCTCCAATAATACTTATATTTTTATTTTACCAATTTCGGATATGAAATATTCATTTCGTGTGGTGAAAAAATTTGCGATAATTAGGATTCTTCGATATCGGTTCCGAATCGGACATGGACCCGAAAAGGGGCCTACGTGTCGAGTTTCAATCCATTTCACACTCTTCGTAGGACTCTTTTACCTATGTTAAACATATCGAAAATTTAACCAGAGCCCGGATCGCTATTTTATATTTACGTTTGCTTTTCGTGATTCACTGTGTTTCTGTATATATATATATAGCTTTTTAGTAAGAAGAATATATAGCTTTAGATCACACACACCCATATGTATGTGTGTGTGTGTGTTTTTTTCAAGAATTGTCCATGGATGTGCATTAATTTCAAGAATTGATTCCCCTCTTTCAAGAAAATTAAATTTTGTATATATAACCGGAACCATATAAGCCTGATGATGATGACCATTTATCGAAAGCGAAAATATTCGATGTCGAGCTTGCTTAGTCAGAATCGAGTATGCATGCAAATGGCGAGTCTTGGTCCACCTCAGCATCGGTCGCCACGTCATCGCAGATAACAGCCTTCCCCTCATAATGCCTACAAAAACCTGAAAATGGGCACAGAATACAGAATAATCTTTCAAACTCTTTAACAACAATAATGCGGATGGAATCCGCATTATTGACTTGCGTATTTCTCGAAAAAAAAATCGACCTTCTTCTATACATGCACTTTCACGTGTTACCTCGTGCGAAAGGAAACAAGACAAACTAATTTTTTTTAAGTTAGTATATAAGGCCATATCACTCCATTCTCCATTTTCACCAATTACTTCAATCAAGAATCATCATACATATATATATACACATATATATATCTATATATTTCCCTCGAAGCTGCGTTAATATTTATTTATTCGATAGTAATTATAAAAAAAAATCATGAGCAGGGTGGAAGGAGGAGATTGGATGTGCAATGCATGCCAGCACATCAACTTCAAGAAACGGGATTCTTGCCAGCGGTGCAGCTGCCCTAAGTTCGCTACTGCAGCTCAAATATCGTCGTATTCGATACAATTAAAGAGTAGCAATAATATTACCGATCAAATGATGGCCGGAGATTGGTACTGTGGGTCGACGAATTGCGGGACCCACAATTATGCGAGCAGAGGTGCGTGCTATCGGTGTGGTGCTTTAAAGGACTATTGCGGTTATGGGGCTGGAGTTATTGCGTCGGCCGGTTACGCGTACGATGTAATTCCTGGTTGGAAAACCGGTGACTGGATTTGCTCAAGGTATTTATATACTTTTTTTTATGATTAATTAGTTTTTACGAACGAAACGAATATTAATTAAATTGTAGATTAATTTGCTTCTCTTTGATATTGATTAATTTGGTTACATGATGCAGATTAGGATGTGGCTTGCACAATTATGCAAGCAGGGTTGAATGCTACAAATGCAGGATGCCTAGAGATTGTGGTACGTTTTACGACTTCTATATATTTCACTAATCGCTCGATTTTTTTTTCAATATCTAGGGATTTATTTATTTTTATATATAAATGTGCAGGAGGACAAATGTGAGCAAAATTGGAATGAAGAGAGCAACTTTTTAATTTTTGACAAGTTTAATTATTGTACTTTGTTGTAATCTCCTAAATTTATCGCAATGGGAAAACAAATTTACCGTTACGGTGTTATGGCGTTTTCATAATGAACTAATTAGACGATATTATTCAACTGGATAAAATGAACTAATTAATATAAGAGCAACTTGTTGAGTTAAACCTTCACTAACGAAGATGCTAAACGATTCGAAGCAAAGAAAAATAAAATTAAGAGATTCGTAATAGAATCTCCACGAGTTTTCCATTAAGAAGTTCGCCACTTGATTCGTGTAGAGAGAGAAAAGCAATAGAACTGGATTGAAAAGAGATGTCAATAATTAAGAGTAGATAAAGGAACCAGATGCATGCAGATGAAGATGCAGATGCAGATGCTCCCCCTTTATGAACACATACATATATATATATGTATGTATGTATATCTGTATATGTATATATATATATCTATATAGGAAGGAATAGTCAATCCTACTTTTTGCTGACTGGATTGATCATGATTCACCATTGCTAATTTATCATTCACTGATCTCCATTATTGAAGGTGTTTATTCGAAAAACATATATGTATGTCGGTCCCAAAAATGATCGGGTCAAATACTTGAGTTGTTATTCGGTTAGTGTTCGTTTGGATAGGATCTACAAAAATATCTCCGGAATCCAAATTACATTTACTATTGTCGTGTCATGTAATATAAATATAATATCGAGTGAACAGAAAAAGTAACTGCATGTGCCAAAAGTAGAAACTAATGAAAGAATCAATAGCGCCGAATTCGTGGTAAATAATTAAATAGCCGAACGAATAAATGAAAGTAAATACATTAATTTAAATATCCATAACTAAAGACAATACATATATAGTACACAAAACCACCACAATATGCAGTTTTATTCAAACAAAGAATAGCAAAAAATATTTATAATTCAGACAAAATAATACTTTTAAAAAATCTACTCTACAAACAGCTCATCTGTTTCTCTTAAGACTCTACAGAAATCTCACAACAAATACCAAACTATAATTATTTTTTGCACTTATAGTACACCAATAAAACACGCTACATTAGCAAGCTTTCACACTCGGGCTCGTATACAACCTCAATCAACTACAGAGGATTCCGATAATACAGCTTCTTTTTTGAATTACACCAAGGAAAAATGAATCGATTTCTCCAAGTCTAAAATGCAGCAGACTTCTCTTTCGGCAGAATTGTACAACTAATGTCATCTACACAGTGAGTTGAACGGAAGCAACAAAATCAAGATTGTACTAAACCATTTCTTTTTTCGTCTTTAGCCAAATGGGTTTCCACTAGCAGAAGTGAAGTTACTTGCAGAATGAGCGTGATGTAATCCACCGAGATGGGGATTTGGGTTCATAGATGCAAAAGCAGACTCATCGAAGCCGAACCCAGATAGCCCTTGTTGCCTAAAAAGTACAAACAACAAAGTAAGAGAAACTTCAACGAGGGGAACACACATTAGTCCTCAGGGCTTATATTCAGGGACATTTTAGACATTTCACAGTTCCCATTAGAATTTCAGCATCAGGGGTTATTTGTAATTTACCCTAAAGCTTCATTTGGATTGACGGATAATAATAAATCAACTGAGCATGTTTGGATGATTCATTTCTCATTTTGAAGTTATATTTTTGAGCCATTTTAAATCCAAGAACTCATGGACGGGTAATTTTTCGGAACGGAAAAAAAACCGAAGGTTGATGACTATAAATTATAATACCTTGGAGGCATGCTGCCAGGTATTTCTTGTCCAGCGAATGAACCTGATTAATGATATACATGCTGAAACGTGTGAATTTTATTTCGCCAGCAGCTCTTCGGAAAAAATAATGTAAAAGAAATGAACAAGATTATTGACCTGGAGGGACTGTTGATGCATATGCTGGCGCTTGACCAAACATTGATGGAGGATGGGGTTGCGGGGTTCCAAGGCTTGCGGTACGTAGTAGCCCGGATGGATTTGCAGTTCTGGGCAACGGCTCTTGCATAGGTGCCACTGATGGAAACTATACAGAAAGGATAGACGACTTATATTTAAGACGAACGAAAACAACGCTAATATAACATCTAGTTCAAATTGCAAATTTACTGGGTTACACGATAAATTTGGTTTTGTTAAATATAGAGTTCCGTGTGTGTGTAACACTTCAAGTCATAAGAACTAGGAAAAAATAATCATGCGCCAAAAATATGTGGAAATGTTACTTCTCTAAGTATGCAAATAGCTTTATAAGAGCAGTTACCAAACATAAAATCAAGAACGACAAAAACAATCACGAAAAAAAATATGCAAGAGAAAGTATAGCAAGACGAACAAGTGTGGAGTATGAAGATAATGCCAGTAAAAATAAACTGATATTTTGTTATGAATTCAAAAGAATGAAAGAAAAAATAAAAAAATAAAAATCAATGCCACATCTCAGGAATTCGGGAATTAAAGTATTTTAACCAGCACTGACCAAAAAGTTACACCAGTCATTATTATCTCGAGTTATACGTTTCAATACGGTTATGTACATCAACCTAAAATGAATAACGATTGATAATATAAAGTAAATCAATCAACTGTGAGAAAGGAAGCATACTGTAGATGTTTGAAGAGGAGAAGGATCATTGCCAACATCAAAAGGATTTGTCGATCTAGACGCCGGAGGGTAATTAGGTGCAGCCTGCAATTGGAAAAGTCAATATTGTAAGGGTTTTACTTTACTCTGTTTTCTCTAGAAAATTCTTGAGGTATAATGTAACCCACAAAACCAAAAATAAAAACTATTAAAGAGAAAAATAATAAAATTCAGAATGAAAAAAATACCCAAGATCCCATTGGATTGTTATACTGCACAGGGACCCCAGCACCGTATGGGGAACCAGAATACCAGCCTGGAGCTTGAGATGGAGTATAAGAGTAATTCGGTGCAAATAAATCCTCAGGCAGTGCTTGTCTTCCACCAGATTTTGCATCCAATGAAGATTCTGTTGTAGATCCGTACGAGGTTCCCATGGCAGGCTTTATTTCTGTTGGAAGCATTGGTGCAATAGATGCACCAGGAGGCCCGTGGGCATTGTGGGGCGGAAGTGAATTCCATTGCTGATAGAATTCCAGGGGAGATGTTAATTACTTCTTGAAAAAAAATATATAGAAGAAAATAGAATTGGAATTACATCAGGTACCTGGTTGCCCGAAAATCCTCCAATAACAGGAGCAGCTGGCTGAGGAACAGGCTGGCCAATACCTCCGGGGAACACAGGGTGTTGTTCAGCTACAATGTTAGGCCATTGTCCTCCAGTTGGAGCATGTGTAAGCACATTCCCTCCTATATTGTCTAAGTGTGATGCAGCAGAAGCACTAACAGGAGGAAGCACAGCCGGTAGAGCAGTACTTCCAGAGGATGTGGGTGTTGGAATTGACAACCCCGAAAATAACGATTCCAAAGAATTCGATGGTGCATTATATGTTTTCACATCGGGAACTGCATCAAAATTTGCCCAGTCATTACTATTGGATGTGGTCAAATGCACTGAAGCATCTGTAGCCACTTGTTGAGGTGGTGGTACAGTTGGAGGTTCCGGAACAGAATCAAAATCAATAAATGAAGCCTCCACTTTGACCTCCGATGGGTTCGTCGCTTCAGAGGATGCCAAACTACTGGAAGATGCAGTTCTCTGCAAAAGGAATATTCTACCCGTTAACATTCTATAGCGAAATAAGTAGGTTTAAGTCGAAAAATGTCTATGCAAGTATAATATTAACTGTAAAAGGACATAAGGACAAAAACAAGAAGAAAAAAAAGGACGTAAGGTGATAAATGTAAAGATAGTCAAAATCACAAGGCAACCCTCCAGCTGAAAAGAAAGTAAAAGTTAAATGATGTTGAAATACCTAAATGATGTCCGGAGTAACTAAATCATGTAAAAGTAGGGAAAAATATTTTATAAATTTAACACTAAGGTTTCACTGGCAGCAGGCGACGAGCAACATGTACCATCAAATGAATCGCCGTGCTTCTTTCATCACTATATGACAAGTAGACAACTAGTTCGCCTTTTATACTGAGAATGACGTAACTATATATTAAAATTTCATAATCAGGGGAGGGTCACTAGTTTTAATACAGACGACAGTGCATAATATGTCAGAGAACAAATAGAACAAAAGGAAATCAAGAATTACGAAATGTGTCTTACAAGTTACAGTGGAAGACTTTTAGTTTTACCTGTGTAGCCCAACCATCATTTGACTTGCCACTAGTGGCTCTAGGAGGAGGCTCAATAACTCGAAGAGGAGATACATTGTCTCCTAATATATCTCTAACAGGGCGGACAATAGGAGGGCTGGACATGTCTGAATCTTTTTGACTATCAGGGGATCCAATTTCAAACTTAGAGCCTCCATCAGAACCCCTATCTCCAGACCTCCTCCCATTTCCAAACCTATCCTCTCGCCGCCAGTCATTAACTACTTCAGCACGGGCAGGACTTTTTTTATAATCACTATTTTTCCGATTGTCTTGATCATATGGTGGACTTCTTCCTCCAGGACTAGCCCTATCATTCTGCCGCCGCTCAAAAGAATCGTCGTAAGGTGGACTTCTTGAACCACCCTGATAGGTATCTGCCCTCCTATTTCCTCTGAAATCCTCGGTTTCTCCCTGAAGAATCCAAATGGAATTTAGAAAGAATTTTTGTACAAGTTCCATAAATTTGGAGAACTATTGTTCACCAAATATGGTGAAAAAATTCTATGTAAAATAATATTTTAAGCAGCCGTTTCAATGTATTGAAAAAATTTACCATCCTTTCCTTCAGAGGCTTTTCCAAGTTCCTCTCACCAGTATATCTTTTATCCACATATACATGCTTGATGAAATCACGAAGTCTCTCTACATTGCTGGAAGTAAAACAAGAACGTCAGTGAAATGCATTATATGTGGAAAACAATGTCAGGTGAAAAAAAACAAAGAAATAAAATCTCAACACAGAAAGCTTTAACACTATACTTTTTACTGTTACCTTCCATCGGGGGCAGAATTACGCTGAGAATCCCATTCCTTTAGATAAATTTCTCTAGCACTCTATGGGGAAACAACAACACAAATATGAGTAACGTATTGAACGATGTTTAAACATGTATATCATCAGTGAAAGAGAACAGTTGATTGCGTACCGCATTCCCTCCTCCCTGAAGGGCACTAACTTCTTGTGTAGTAAATTTAGCCATAGATACCGACTTAACTCTATGAGTGAACTCCCGACTGCAAGTAGATTATAAAAAAACTAATAAGTTAACATTGCTTGCAATGAAAGGGGAATGTACAGAACTTCAGTACTTGGAAGTTTATTATACAACAAAATATGCAAAACTGGAACTCATTATTACTTACTGTATCCCACTGCAGGTCGTACAGACAAAGGATGAGAAATTAGTGCAAACATATTGAGGCCCCTGATATGAAGTAACAAAACAGTAAGCCCATCAACATAAAATAATGAAGACATAACAGAAATGTCACTTAAGCATGACAATCCAGGTCAAGTTCAGGTTAACAGAATTCTTACCAACTGAACACAAAATGTCCCGCAGCAAAAATTCAACAAATACATTTTCACCATTTCCATAGAACAGTTCAATAAATGTAGATAGCCTCCTTTAAATTTATAGATAAATGAATGCAGAATGCACCGAGTAAGCTTGAAATGCACAGTATCTCATCATTCTCTAAGAATGAGTTGCTCTCTTTCAGAACTTAAAGTGACTTGGCCTACTAGTCATGGCATGAAGTGATATGCTCCTACCTTATAGCTCGCTTCTTATTTGCAGTGACCTTCTTTCGAGGGATTAGTGCGTCTAAACAACTAGCTAAAGATAGATAGCAACCAACCGCTATCGCGTTAGCTGAGAATAACATTGGATTGAATCGCTTAGACACTGCACATGGTGCCAATATCCATTGCAAATGAATCAAAATGTTGAATCTAATGGACTGACTGAATGCGTGAAGTCACGTTAGCTATGTTCCATATATCCTATCACCGACAAAAAGAAAAGACTGAGTAGATGAGGAACAACTATATGTGCTAACGGATAGTCCACAAACCCAATTGAGATGTAATTTGAATAACCAAGCATTGAGTGATTCAGGGAGAACAGTAAACAACTAAAACGAGAATGAGTCCATAAAAAAAACTTCCGGTTACTCTCTCTTAATCCCCAATTCCGGATATGCCATTACGGCAGTAATTCGAAATAAACCTTAGTAGATATAGCATTCAATAGTTTAACATCAAGACAGAGACAATCAACACAAGAAAAAAGGAAGCATACCAAGCTATTGCAGTTAATACACCTCCGATTCTCAGGAATCTTGAGAAGATTCCTTATAATCCTCTCGTTCTTCTCATCCTCCTTCACCCGACTCCCCATTTCGCTACCAATACAATCAAATCCCCCACGCCTCTTTCCTTCACTATTCACTGCACCCATCATTTATCAACCAGTCAATCAGTACAAGGATAAATTCACACACACACACAAAACAAAATACACGAATTAAGAAAAAAAAACGCATATAAAATTGAAACTCCTACAGAATCAGATCTGGTAAACGACAGTCAATAAAAAAAACTGAAGAATCCATAATTTTTCACTTTCTCAAAGGAAATAAGTAATAACAGTTCAATTGAATGAGTGATTGAAGTTAAACACTGACCTGATCGGCGAAGGGAAATTTCATAGATCAACGGGGTGTATTGATTGAACCGACGGATCTCGGGTTTATCTTTTTACAGCTCAACTATAGGAAAGACTGACTGGATAGAGAGAGAGAGAGAGAGAGAGAGAGAGAGAGGTAGAGAGAGAAAGACAGCGCCTTTTTGCTGTTCGATGGAAAAAACGTACGAAAAAAAAAATGAACACGGAGAGAGAAAAGGGAGAGAACGTGGGAGAGAGATAGAGAGAGAGAGATTAAATTATATAAAAATCAATTTTAAATTTAGAGGGGGCGAGAAATCGGGTGTTGCGCGAATACAGGGAAAGAAAACTGAGGTCGCGTGTCTGCGTTGTTACCAGTCAAATTTTGTTTACTAGTGGACTACTACTATTTTAAGGAAATAGGAGAAATTATAGTTTTCGCACCTCAAGTTTGCACCGATTTCATATTTAATCTCCATGTTCATAACAAATATATTTGGTCCCTTATGTTTCAATAATTTAATATTTTTTGACATTTCCGTCAATTTACTGTTAGTTCGTTAGTTAAGGCAGCGGTGGCGCGTGTTTGATTCTGTTAGTTTTAAGGGAAAATTGACGAAAGGAAGTTGAATTTTGCAACATATGGGAGCAAATGTGTTTTTTTTTAACATGGGGATCAAATATGAAATCGATGCTAACTTGAGGGACAAAACTGTATTTTTCTCATTTTAAATACAACATTTTAAATATTAAACCATTTTAAGGTTAAAATTGTAAATTTATAAATGAAATACAAAATAAAAAATATTATTTTTTTGGTCGATTACTTTTATTAGGGTAAATTACAACCACCCCTGAGATATAGTCAAATTATGAAAAACGCCCTCTTGTTTGGATAATTACATCTACTCTTCAACTATGAATCTTCTTACACATCCACCCTTATGGTGTCAAATTCAACATAATCATCTAGATTCCGTGGAATATGTTCTAGTTTGTACTCGTTTTGTGTAAAAATACAGTTTCTGATGCACCACAATTTGATATATACAAGCCAAAAAACACATCTTATGATCATCTTGCTTCAAAATGTGGAGCTCGAATGAGATAAAATGCGTACAAAATTGAGAATATTCCATATAATCTAGAAGATTACACTGAATTTGAAACTGCAAGGGTTGGACGTGTAAGAAGATTTGTAGTTGAGGGGTTGTTGTAATTATCCAAACAGAAGGGGGTTTTCGTAATTTTACGATACCTCAAGGGGTGGTTGTAATTTACCCTTTTTATTATAATAAAAAATTAGTGGTGGCAATTAGGGGTGAGCAAGTCGGACCCATCAACCCGCTACACCCGTCAAACCCGTGAAAAACCGCCCCGTTGGGACCGGACGAATAGATCCACCCATAGGATTGGGTCCTAAAATGGTGAAGAACCGTTGGTTTAGGTCTAAGACGGGTTCGATTTTTTTTAATACCCGTGAAACCCGTCCCGTCCCGCCATACAAAACAACGTCATTTTGTTTACATTATATAGTATAATAAATTAATAATATTAATGAATAAATAAAGTATCTCTAGTGTATCAAATACATAAATAAACTAAACTATAATTGTGGAATTAATAGCTATAAAGATTATGAAAATCTCTAAGAAAATGTAGGAAAAAAAACATATATATACAACGGTCAACACACGGTAGAAAAAAAAAGGAAGAAAATGGTGTTGAATGGAGGTGAATAGCGTTGGTTATGCTTGAAAATGCTATTTTTATTTTATTTAAATTTTGTCTTTTAAGTTCTGAATTAGTTATTTTTAGTTTTATATTAATTTTTATTTACTCTTGACATTTGCATTATTTATGTTTGGTTTCAATTTAAGATTTTAGGTTATTCATTTTAGTTTCTAATTATTCTCCCATAAAACTTATAAATTATATAAAAAAAAATGGTTTAGACGATATCGGGTTTCGACCCGTAAAGATTGGGTCCTACTACAAATCCACCATGGACCCACCTATCGTAAACCCGTTGAAAACCCACAAGTGTGGTTCTTCAAAATTAAGAACCATTGTTTGACGGGACGAGGACGGGTTTATGGCCCGCGCACACCCCTAGTGCCAATTGGGCTCATGTGCTAATTTAATAATATATTTCTTATAAAACCTTTGTATTAATCTATATATGCAACGGTTAATATGAAGCAGGTTTATATGCAACGGTTAATATGAAGCAGGTTTTTTTTTTAGCTGTGGATTTTTATTTTTGTTACTTTGAGATATATATATATATATATATATATATATATATATAGATATATATATATATATATATTTAGTGATTGTTCATTTTCAATTGATTGTAGGGATATAATTACTTAATTAAAGTATTTAGAAAGGTTGATTAATGAAAAATTAGAAAACTTATATTATGTAAACATGCCTCCTATGAAAAAAAAAAAAACAATGTTTATTTATTTTTTTAAATAAGAAATAAGAATAAAATTCAAAACCCAAAAACAAACAGCTATTCCGATCATGAAAAGATTGGAATCACTTCATCTCTTTCACTATAACTACTATAACTATCACTTTTAAAAAATATTTCGTTTCATATTATGTGCATTTACATTTCCGATACTGCACCAAATGCATATTTTCATGTGTTAACATTATTAATTAAATATTAAGTATTTAATCTAAAACGTTATCCATTCTAATGAATATATATGTATTTAGCTAATTTATCACAAGCATTTAAAACCAAAACATATCCAAAAAAAATCCCAAAAAAAGTTACAAGATAAATAAAATCAAATATAGATAAATACAATTAATTGCATATAAATCATCATAATATTTTCTTGACTCAGCCAAATAATTCAAACCCTTTTGAATCTCCTCTTCTCAAGCTGTACCAATATAATTAATTAATTAATTAATTAATCAATTATTCCTCTAATGTTGTCCGAAAAATATTGCGAAAAATATATTTATTTTATTTTATTTTATTTAACGGAAATACATTTATTTAGGTCCTTCTTATCCACTAACCAATAAAATAATTAGCAGAAATGCCCTCTCCTCCATTAATCCCTCCTCCAAAATTAGCTTAATTCATTTTCATCCATTAATTTTATTTTATCTTTATTATTAAATCCATAAATAAATGTTTTCCCAGCCCTATTTCTTCATTCAATAACACTGTTTTGATTATCTAAGTAAATCATTAAGATTTACGGCAGGGTAATCAAACTCGCCTTGTATAAAACCCCATTTTTCCATGTACATATATATAAAAGTTTTAAATAAATAATAAATAAATAAATTAGTCCCATCTTTTTTCTTAAATGTGTATATGTAATTAGTACAATAAAACCTTCTTCTTGCTTCGTTTCTGTACAAAGTTCAGCTGCTTCTATCGTTCCCGGCTTCGTTTATGCGTCGCGCCCGATTTCCCCGATATATATTTTTGGTAAGATTTTATGTTCCTTTTTCTTCTTTATATCTACGGGTTCGCACTAGCGGAGCCAGAATTTTTAAATCCAAAAGGGTCGTTAATTCTAATATACATGACTTTTAAAAAATATATATATAAAATAATAGGAATTTGAGAAACCCTATGTTGGCTCTGCCACTGCACGTTCATCATATATATATATATATATATATGTATATTGAATTTTTCGTGTTTTATTAGTATTTTATTTTTTATATTTTTTTTGCTGAGAGTTTGAATTGAAGTATCTTTATTTTTGTTGGAAAGATTGAACTGAATCATTTGATAAAACGGTTATTTCTATGCTACACCCGATGAAGATTACACCGTACGGTTTTTTACCGTTGATCTACACATACCAATGTGGGTGTGTGTTTGTGTGCATATGAATGGTAAAGACTAAAGATCTACCCAGTGTATTTCACCGGGTGTAGCATAGTATAAACCATTGACAAAAACATGTTAATTATAAATATTTTATTGAATTATCTTCATATAATCAAGATAAATATATTACCAATGTGATACGATATAGTAATTAATGCAACCATAACTGTGATTAATTACAACAATATCGGATTAACTTATATTTGGATTATTGACTGATTAATATCACTATTGACTATAATCCAAAAGCAACCAACAATTAACCTAAACCAATCAGACTCCACCACGTCATCTTCACCCAAACCCCCCCTCTCTCTCACACACTCACACACTTACATATATATATATATAAACACAGGCAGCAAATAATAACAAAATTAGAAGAGAATCAGCAGCGGAATAATAATAATGACGAGAGCAGTAGAAGGAGGTCACCGGAGCGTGAACATGGGCCCACCCCGGAGTTTCGGGACGGTGCTGAAATTGAAACTGAAAGAGACGTTATTCCCGGACGATCCGTTCCGGCAAATCCGGAAAGAGCCGTTAGGGCGGCGATCGATCCAAACGCTGCAGTATTTCGTCCCCATGCTCGAGTGGCTCCCCAATTACAGCTTCAACCTCTTCATGTACGATCTCCTCGCCGGAATCACCATCGCCAGCCTCGCTATTCCGCAGGGCATCAGCTACGCCAATCTCGCTTCTCTCCCTCCCATCATCGGACTCTGTAAGTATATCTATATCTATATCTATACATATATCTATATATCACATTATTTACGAGATTAGGGTTTTATGATTTTTTTTTTTAGTTTGGGTATTTTAAGTGACTGAATAAATGTGTTCGACTTAATTAGCGATCGTGGGAACTTAATTTCGTTTGTGTTGTGAAGATCAACTAGTAATTAATTTCAGCGGTGCCATGCACGGTAAATACATATTTTCAGTTTACGATAATATTATCTTATAAGATATTATCTTTAATTAATAGATAATATATAACAAATCCTTAAATATAGGAAATCTTATAATTAATTAGGCTATTTTTAATTTTTATCCCTATATTAAATTTATTTTGTTAATAAGATATGCACCGAATTCGCCTGTGTTTAAAAGAACATATCTTATTATTAATGGTGGTAATTATTAGTGGAAAAGTGGATTTGATGGATAAAAAAATTAAAAGAAAAATTAAATAATTAGCAGGTGTATTTTTAGTGCAGATTTTTATCAAGCAGTTTACACTATGTATGCATGATGTGTTAGGGTTTCGATAATGCATTAATTAATATTTTACAGTTCTGCCCTTATTAACAATTAGTTTATAGAAACTAGTGGAGAAGAAAATCAATAAGAATGCTATTTTAGCTAAGTTACATTACAGATTTTTTTCTAAGAATTCATGCATATTTATTAATTTTTTTTAATATAAGTGCATCGGTACAAATCTAACACGTACGTACTTTGAAACCGCAAAAAAACAATAGTATATCATAAAGTAGTAGGGTTTATAAGTCTATATATATGAATGGTTTATTTACATGCATGCATGCAGATTCGAGTTTCGTGCCACCACTGATATACGCTATTTTCGGGAGCTCAAAGCATCTCGCGGTGGGTACGGTGGCGGCGTGTTCGTTGCTGATCGGTGAAACCATCGGAGAAAAAGCATCCGCCACTACCCAAACGGAACTTTACGTTAGCCTTGTTTTCACCACCTGTTTTATCTCCGGTCTGCTTCAGTCAGCTCTCGGCCTCTTGAGGTATAATATTCATTTGAAATAAAAAAAAATTACTATATATATTTTTTTCTTTCTAGAAAAAAAAAATATATTTTTTAAATATATTAAATAATAATTATTTTATTTTTTCAGGCTCGGTGTGTTGGTCGATTTTATGTCGCACTCGACGATAACTGGGTTCATGGGTGGAACGGCTCTGCTTATTATTCTACAGCAGATGAAAGGAATGCTTGGCATGAAGCATTTTACCCACAAAACTGGCGTAGTTAATGTTATACAAGCCATTTTTAAATATAAAAATGAGGTATATTTAATTAATTAATTTTCACATATATCGTTACGTAATTAATTTTAATTTCGTTGGCCTATAATTTTATTTTAATTTTAATTTTCGATTTACGACAGTGGAACTGGAAATGTGCACTCATTGGCGTAGTATTCCTCGTATTTCTCCAGCTCACCAGATTTGTGGTATGTTATAAGATTAGGTTACTTAACACGGAAAAATTCGAAAAAAAAAAATTGAACTCTTTTTCGCGTATTAAAGAGTAACAATTTTTTTTTTAATTTTTGATTTTTGTTTCCAGAAAAAGAAGAATCCGAAGCTGTTCTACATTTCAGCTATGGGTCCGATGGTGGTTGTTGTCGCCGGTTGCCTTCTCGCGTACTTTGGCAATGCCACCAAACTTGGCATTTCTACCGTGAGTCGATTTCTACTATGTACTATATATAATTGCAAAATTCCAAAATAGATTTACACTAATTACACTCTTCCTCTACTAAATTTCATGTATAAAAATTTGTTGATATTCAAGGTGGGCCCGCTCAAGAAAGGGATCAACGCATTATCCGTTAACCGTTTGAACTTCGACCCGGCTTACATATCCGCCCCGTTGAAAGCCGGAATTATCACCGGTGTCATTGCCCTCGTGGTAATTGTCATTAAATAAATCCTCCATAATTAACATTTAATTAACCACTAACTAATTTTATTTAATTTTTCCATTATATTGTTAATCAAAAATATCCAATGATCAATCTTCTATTTTATTTTTTAATTATTTTTTGCAGGAAGGAATAGCTATCGGAAGAAGTTTCGCTTTGGCATCGAACACAAACGTCGACGGTAACAAGGAAATGGTAGCTTATGGTTTCATGAACATCATCGGTTCTATGACGTCGTGCTACTTAACTACCGGTAAACCCCCGTTAATTATTATTTTTAAATTTTATTTTTAAAAAATATTATTAATTTTTTATTTTTTTTGTTCAGGTCCGTTCTCGAAAACGGCGGTCAACGTGATGGCAGGATGCAGGTCTCAAATGGCGAACGTGGTGCAGTCGGTATGCATGTTACTAGTCCTCCTCTTCTTGGCACCACTATTCAGCTACACGCCCCAGGTGGCACTATCCGCCATTATAATCTCCGCGATGCTCGGTTTGATCAAGTACAAGAAGGCCTACCACCTCTACAAAACCGACAAATTCGACTTCCTCATTTGCATGTCCGCGTTTTTCGGCGTCTCCTTCATTAGCATGGACATGGGTCTCTTGATATCCGTAAGAATAATTCGCTTTTACTCATCGGTGGCTTAGCCAGCATTCTCGGTGCGGGGGCCATCGCCCCCCTCCCCCACTATGTTTTCAAGAAAACCTAATTCTTGGAACCCTATAATATTTAATTATATGAACATATAATTAAGAAACGACTAAATCGGAGGCATTGATTTATTATTTCGTTTGCAGGTCGGATTAGCGTTGGTTAGAGCATTGTTGTACATGGCGAGGCCCGCGACTTGCAAGCTAGGGAACATTCCGGAATCGAACCTTTATCGTGACGTAGAGCAGTATCCGGGTGCAACGGGAATTCCAGGGTTTCTTATTGTGCAAATCGGTTCGCCTATATACTTTGCAAGTGCTCCGTACGTCACAGAGAGGTACGATTTTCTTCCCATTTTTTTTTATATTAGGCAATATTCATTTTTTTATTTTTTTCTTGTTGATACTATATGGTTTTAATTTATTTTTATAATTTTGTCGTAAATTTAATTCGAGAGCAGGGTCATGAGATGGGTCCGAGAGGAACAAGAGTTGGCGAACGATAACGACCTTGAATATGTATTATTGGAAATGGGAGGTTCGTCGATTCTTAATCTCATAATTCAATAACAAAATGCATAAAAAAAAATTATAATAAACATACGATCAAATTGTAATAGGCGTGACAGCGATCGATAGCACGGGAATGGAAGCTCTAATTGAACTTCGAAGAAACTTACAAAATAAAGGAATGAAGGTAACTAAAAAAAAGAAAACAACTTGAATTGTTTTGGAAAGAACTATAAATAGTATATAAAGGGTTTAATTTCTCGAAATTTAATGCAGATGATTTTGGTAAATCCGAGGATCGACGTAATGGAAAAGTTGATCGTCGCAAAATTCATCGAAAAGATCGGCGAAGATGCTGTTTTCTTGTCGGCCGAAGACGCTATCGAGGCTTGCAGATTCACACTTCGAAATTCGAAACAAGGCACTGTGGAGGTTTGATGAACTAGAGTCGGTAGTGACTTGTTAATAATGGCTCGTTTATTTCGAAACGTAATAAAAAAAATAAAATGTGCGATCCTCGATCGAAGATCGAGTTGCAATTTGTTTTTTTGTTTTGTTTTCGTTTCCCACCTTTGCAGTTTCTTTACTTTTAGGTAAAGAAACTTGCAATAATCAATTGTACATTCATGGTTAGCAAATAAAATCTAATTTAATTTCCATTTTCCTATCTCACCATTGTTGGCGGATTGTCTACATTTATTGTCAGCCCCCCTCATAAAAATTTTAATGCATTCATTCAGTCCCTCAAACTTAAAATCCTGGCTCGACTGATGTTCGTGGTAATCGACTTTGTTTTGAATCAAATTACTTAAAAGTTGTAAAAAAAGAACTTGGAGTCGAGCGGATTGAAAATACATGATACTTCAATTTATACTCCTCTTGTTTCATGCTAGTGAATGCAAAATTTTAATTATCAATCAGCTCAACAAAAACTCGAGTTTTTCGAAATGATCAATAATGAATTCAATAGCAAAGTTCAAGATTTAACTCGAACTCCAAATAATATAAACTCAAACTAGTTAAAAATTGTTCGAGTTAAATTTCGAGCCCTTCAAATAAGGTAGAGCTCACCTTGGACACACACACACCCTCATCTGATAATAAGAAATCGTGCTATAAGGAAATGCGATTTTAGGTGTAGGCTTAACAATGGGACTAAAATGGTAGAAAAACAATGTATGAGGACTAAATTCGTAGTATATTTTAAATATAGGGTTCAATATGTAATTATCCCGTTTGTGGATGATGTTTTTTATGGGGGCAAAATCAAATTAGAAACCTGACAAGAGAGATTACACACAGTGAATGGAAACGTGAGGCCCCAAATTCTCTGCTCAAAGAGCATTTCCAATTCCTCCCTTTCTCTCTCACACACTCACACACACACACACACAGTGATACACACAGAGAGGAAGAAGATATGCAGATTCTCCATGCTCCGTTTGCTTCTACTCCGGCATTTTACTCCGCCGCCGCATCGCAACCGAAAGGAAGTGAGTTTTCAATTCTGCGCAGTAAGTATATCCGCATGAAAAAAATTCAATTCTCCGCTCTGAAATTTAACTTCAATTTTTGTGCAGGACCTCTGCATGTGAGTGGGAAATCGTTGGCTGAACTCATTACTTCTACTTCGTTTTCTTCTCAAAGACAATTAAGGTCTGCATGGTTCTCGTATGGCGATTCAGTATGTAGCTCTGTTTCACCTAGAGCTGCTTCTTCCCAAGGTGAATGAATTCGTTTCCCCCTTTTTAGATTTTGATTTTCCCTGTTGGCCAAGTGCGATTTCACTTTTGTCTTTAGGTTAATGGAAATTCATTACAAGGACGTGTTCTGAAATTGAGATGTGAATTCTTATAATTGATCCACTCGTGTTAGTTCTATTTACTGGTTAATTTATTGAAAATCTGCTGCTCTGATGTCTCGATCAGTTGTTAGTTTGAGAGTTCAAAGGCAGTTGAGTTCGTATTTCAATGGCATTTTGATTTGATAATGTGGACGGGATTTTGAATTCCTAAACCAGTAGTTGATGCCTATTGAAAAATATCTCTCCGATATTTTCTGTAGGTCCTAAATTTATGTCTATGTTTTCGTTTCGAGGAGCACTAAAGAACTCCATGAAATTGAGATGTGTAAACAAGTGGCTAGTTCGGTAGTTATCCATCACCATTGGTAAAGGAGTACTTTGTTTGATCGAAGAGAAAAGTGTTACGATCTTTTTTAAGGATACGTGGATCGGCCTTATACTACTATGTATTGGTTAATCTGTCCAAATGTGTATCTATCTGCGGTATTATGTTTGCTCAATGCCGATCTAATTTGTTGATGAATCTAGCATTATAACTTCATTGAACCTTAGCATGATTGGCAATTGAGAATCATGGATTATCACACTTTATTTAGCAGATCGACCATTTTTTACATTCATATTATCAGGTTAGCCAGGTTAAGAAGCAAGCTATAAGATGATTGCCTTTTGTCTTAGATAGTACAACTTAATTGGGGCTTGCTTATCATTATAAATACTTTTAATGTCCATCTAACCAAATTATTGTTGCAGCAGCTGTTTCGGAAGTTGCAAGTCAAACAGCTGAGACAGATGTCCTCAAAGCCTTGTCCCAGATAATCGATCCAGATTTTGGTACTGACATTGTCTCATGTGGATTTGTGAAAGACCTTAATGTCGACAAGGCGTTGGGAGAGGTCTCTCAACAAATTGGATTTGATGAGTTCTTCATTTACATATAGAGATCAACGCCTCATCCAACATTCTCAATTTCAATCTCAGGTTTCATTTCGGTTAGAGCTCACGACACCAGCATGTCCAGTGAAAGACATGGTATATGAAAAACAAAAAAGAGCACTAGTTCCTTTTTTTTTTTTCCTTTCTCTTTTCTCATTTATCGGCTAAACAAGGATATGTAAATTTTCAGTTTGAGCAGAAAGCTAATGAGGTGGTGGCAGCACTTCCCTGGGTTGAAAAGGTTAATGTAACTATGTCTGCCCAACCAGCAAGACCTGTTTATGCTGGGCAACTTCCAGCAGGTCTACAAACAGTATCAAATGTAGTGGCTGTTTCAAGTTGCAAGGTAGCATGTCTTACAATACGTTCCAGTATATATCCCTGAAATAACTTTCCAGGATTGATTTCGCTTCCTTTTGTTTTTCTTTTTGTTCTGTTCTGTTATTATCTTTATGAGTATCTTGAGGTTTTTTTTCCATTTGCCTCTAATCATTTAGTGGCCTGATTTCACATATAATGTATTAGGTCTACGCTCTACGGATCTTGAATCTGAATTAGACACACAAAAAGGACTAGCACAAAATGAAAAAATGTACACTATTTAACTAGAAAAATGAAATATGCTAGTGATGGATGACACAGATGGACAAATTCAAGAGCTGCAAAAAATATTGTCTTATACATATGCTACATGCCATAGACTTTTTTTCATTCAAAACAGAGATAACTATAACTAAGCCAAATCGGATAGATCTAAGGATAGTGGATAATGTTTTGATGGTGCATTCTGCTTAAACTTTTAATAATGAAGATTTATTCAGGAGACTAGTCCTAATATTTGAAATGTATACTTCTTTTATACGAACTATTACCATGGGTGTTGACACTTGAAATTACTGCATCTACATCTTAACCAAAATTTTCTAAATTTAACTGTATTGACACTTCAACAACAGCAATTCCCTTGAATGTATTTCAGTAAACCAGCCTTCCCCTTTTACATGCATTATTGTGTTTTTAGATTCAGTTTTAAATAATCTCCCTGTAAGCTGCCTAACAAATTCCTCTTGAAAATGAACACTCCAACAATTACAGGGAGGGGTGGGAAAATCAACAGTAGCTGTAAACCTTGCATATACTTTGGCTGGTATGGGTGCGAGAGTTGGTATCTTTGACGCTGATGTATATGGTCCTAGTTTGCCAACAATGGTGTCTCCAGAAAACCGGTTGCTTGAAATGGTATTCTTCAATTCTTGTACTAGAATTGCTTTTATTAGCCTATATCACTATATGAAAATTGAACCACCAAGGTTCTGGCCTAGTGGTATTGGCCTCTCTCCTTTTGGCGGAGTCTGGGGTTCAAACCCCTCTGGATGTGTGTGTGTGTATGTGTCAGTTGTGATAATAAATCTTTTTTTAAAGAAACTATACAACAATTGAATGGTATCTTATAGAACCCAGAGAAGAGAACTATCATCCCAACTGAATACATGGGTGTTAAGCTCGTATCTTTTGGATTTGCGGGACAAGGCCGTGCAATAATGCGTGGCCCAATGGTTTCAGGGGTCATCAATCAACTACTGACAACTACTGAATGGTATGGGTTGCTTCCTGTATGCATTATCCTTTCCCTTCATTTCACAAGAAGCTATGAAGTTATTTTCCTGGAAATTTGAGTAGCTCTAAAATTTTGGAACATATATTGTCTTTCCAAGTATCTTTCTTCGTCTGTTTTAATACCTGTAGCTTGTTGGATACCTATTGTTATTCTATAAAGAGCACAAATCAATATGCCTTGCACAATGTAGGGCATATGTCTCTGTTTCTTACTTCTGTCTATTTGATCGTTTCGTAATAATACTATCATTTTACACCAGAAAGATTTAAAAAGTATAACAGGTTTCTAAACGACGAATTCTTTATGTAGTTCATAAATCAGGCAAATTATAGAAAATAATAATGCTGTTTAGTTATCTCTGTTACAAAATTTTAGAATCGGTGCTGCTAGTTTTTCAACTCATTTTATTTAATAACACCCCAGTCCTTGATTTATGCTGTTATGACCTGGAGAACTCGACTAGTTCACATTTACATACCAAAAAGTCCTGTGGGTTATGTCATTATCATCACGATAATTTTATTGCTTTCATTTAATCCGACATCATCAATTGAATTCTCTGATCCAAGTGTGCGTTCGTAATATGTAGGGGTGAACTTGACTATCTGGTCATAGATATGCCTCCAGGAACTGGTGATATTCAGCTTACATTATGCCAGGTGTTGCTTTATGCATTTGCTAGTTTATGATAAATGTAATGAATATTATTGCGCCTATTCATACATTTTACTCATTAATATTTCAGAGTGATAAAATTAATTGGGATAGAATTAAACTTGTAGGTTGTTCCATTGACTGCCGCTGTTATAGTTACCACGCCTCAGAAGCTAGCATTCATAGATGTTGCCAAAGGAGTCCGCATGTTCTCTAAGCTAAAGGTCCGTTTCTTATATTCCTTCATGTTCAATTTAGTTATAAGTTGTCTTTCTATTTTAATGAATGTGAGGTTACCACATTTATTTTGATATTGTTATTCTATAATTTTTTTCTTCAAGGTATTAGAACTAACTCTAAATTCTGCATTCAGGTACCTTGTGTAGCGGTGGTTGAGAATATGTGCCACTTTGATGCTGATGGAAAACGCTATTATCCATTTGGCAGAGGTTCAGGTTCTCAGGTTTTTCTGATGCTCCATTATCTTATTTCTTAATTCTCTTTTTGGTACACTTTAGATTATGTATAAATTATAATGATTGGAACAGAGCATTGAAGACAATTGAGGATAGTAGTTGAATACATGAAACAATAGCACAATTTTGTAAATATTTTTTGCAGATCTAAAATTGCTCATTGTAATTACGTATTTGCAGGTGGTCAAGGAGTTTGGGATCCCCCATCTATTTGAGCTGCCTATTAGACCAACTGTGAGTCCCATACATTCTCTTGTTAACAGAGTCGACGTACATGGATAAATCGGATTTCGTCTAACATTTTTAACTTATATATAGTACATATAAATGATAATATTTTTCTTGAGGTTAAGGTTTATCAGCTAGCTGTTCCTCATCAGATATTGTAGTTCCTTATAGGCTAAAGCTTATGTGTGATGACCAATAATGCAAAAACACTGAGTGTCACGTTTAAGTTACTAGTTTCTCTTTCCTTAATTTCAAATAGGTAAATGGTTAATTTGAGAAATAAAAAAATCTGATTCTACCGGTTATGCATTTTCTCTAACTTCTTCCATTTCATACTTAGCAAGTGTTTTTCAAGGACAAGTAAATCTCTCAGAGAATATAAATTATAAGCACATTGTTAACTGTTCCGTCATATACTCTTAGTTCATAACTGTAATAAGGTTTCCTAACATATGCTACAACTTCTCTTTGGGTTCTTGCATTTCTCTCATGATAGTAGCCGTTTGAGCTGGCTTGTAATAAAATATCACGTCGTTCATTCCCAGCCATAACGCGTACTTCTCTCTAGTAATATAAAACTTTTTGCAAATAATTGTTGCATCTGCATGAAAAAAAGAAAATTGTTTTACATCTGATCTTCAAACACATGAACCCAAAAATCACCACATTCATGGGTATAAGGGATCAACCATTAAGAGTGAAATTACCAATTCCTTGGTCAATAATAACAAGCATTTGTAAATTAAAAGCTATAATATGTGGATTTACATACATAAGGTGATTCCTTTTATAGCTATCGGCTTCTGGAGATAGCGGAGTGCCTGAAGTAGTTTCTGATCCACAAGGTGAAGTTGCGACCGCATTTCAAGAATTGGGCGTCTGTGTGGTTCAACAGTGCGCCAAAATCCGCCAACAAGGTATTTTATTTTGATCCATTAATCAACGGCTTATGTTGTTCAGTGCCTTTTACTCAGATGAATGCTGATACTAAGGCTCTCGTTTATGTGTTTGTTTCATGTACAGTGTCGACAGCTGTCACTTATGATAAATCTATGAAAGCAATTAGAGTCAAAGTACCTGAATCGGATGAAGAGTTCTATTTGCACCCTGCTACTGTGAGGCGAAACGACCGATCTGCAGACAGTGTGGTATGTCAAGACTTAAACGATCTAGTTTCATAATACTTTAATAGGCCAATCCTATTTTAGACATCTATCTTTCTTACCATCTCTTCTAAACTGCTATCGAAGTAGGCATAATATATAGGGGTCGGTACGAATATAATTATTTCAGATGTTTTAGATGCTCGTGGAAAGGAAAAATATAAAAGTTTAATCACTGAATGATAAAAACTGTTTGGTTAAACGAAGAGGTTCCTTGTTATAATGGGAGCCGTTGTTGGTGGCGTAGAAAATCTTTTCGTTTCATTACAGAGCTGTCTGTTTTTCTTCTTAAAAAAAAATTGTGTTTCTTGTCCAAACAGGATGAATGGACTGGTGAGCAAAAACTGAAGTACGCAGACATAGCCGATGATATTGAACCTGAAGATATTCGAGCAATGGGGAATTATGCTGTGTCCATTACATGGCCCGACGGTTTCAGCCAGGTATTTATTATCCTACGTCATTCCAACTGTCAATATCAATATTTATTTCGAAACAAACAAAAAAAGGAAAAAAATAAACATCTCTGTATAGTTATATTCATTTTTCATGTTCGTTTTTGTGAAGATTGCTCCATACGATCAGCTGCAAATGATGGAGCGTTTAGTCGATGTTCCTCAACTTCTGCATCAGTAGATCCGACAGCTGTGCGAAGAAGATGCTTGAAAGTTTCCCTGTCGGTTCGTTTGTTCTCATGTTCACCTAAAATGTACGATTATACGGAGAATCTTTATATATTCAATTCGATTCTTGCTACCACAGTGAGGCAGCACTGATAATGTAGCATTCAAAAAAAAGCAGAATCTGTTTTTTTTTTTTTTTACCTGTCATAGGTGTAAACCTCAAATTGAAATTGTACATAGTTATAGACAGTGGTTGTTGACTTGTTTTGATAAAGGAAAATGACCATAATGCCCTTTCAATTTTTGTCGATTCTGTAGGATGCCCTTAAACTTCTTACAAACTACAGTTGATTGTTTCGACTTTTTTTCTTTTTAAATGTTAAATATCGTTTTCAATTTTACTAATACTGTTTTGACGTCGAACGTGATTTTGACCATTTTTCTAGTATGATTTTAGTAAATTTCAACATCGTGAGATGAAAAAGAATTAATAATTAATTTTAAAAATAATTACAAATATGACTAAGTGATTATTTTTATAAGTTGGGAGCATTTGTAAATATATTGAAAAATAAACTTAAATTGAAAAATAAAGTTAAATAGAAAAATAAAGTTAAATAGAAAAAAAGCAAGTTTAGAGATGATATTAAAGCTTAACAGTTAACACAATAAAAACTGAAAACAAAAGCTAATTTTTCAAACATCTGAAAACAAATTATAAGCGAACAAAAAGCTCATAAGCTATTTTCTAAAAGCTTTTGTAAAGACCACCTGTGTGGCTCTGTCCCTCGAGTTTCCCCAATCAAGAAGGATAATAGACCCACCACCCACAAGGAAATTTGCAATCAAAAACCCTAATTCAATGAAAAACCCCAATTCCTACGCCTACGGAACCAGCAACGCAATCCAATACCAAGAAGAAGACGAAGATTCCGATTCCGATGAGAACGAAGAAACCCCAGACCAAAACTTCAACCAGAACGGAAACTTCCACAATTACGACGACTCCAAGCGCCACCCGAAGAAGCGAAAGCTCGAATCCTTCGTCTCCAATTACGACGCCGCTCCGCCCCGGAGGGAAATATGGAGCGAGGAGGAGAGCTTCGTGCTGCTCGAAGCGTGGGGCGAGCGGTACATGGAGCTGGGGCGGCGGAGCCTGAGGGGGGAGGACTGGGTCGACCTGGCCGAAAAAATCGCCGAGATGAGCGGCGCCGAGAGGACGGAATTGGGTTGCAGGAATCAATTGGACGCCCTAAAAAACAAGTACAAGAAAGAAAGGGCGAAGGTGGAGATCGGCCACGGCAGCAAGTGGGTGTTCTTCAAGAAAATGGACGCCCTGTTGAACACGAGGAATCGGGGCCACTGCGGGTTGGGGTGCGGGGTGGATTCGGGCGAGTACGTGTTTATGAACCCGCACGTGTACTTGGAGAGATCCAATGTGTTGGATGAGATGAGGGATAGCCCGGGGCAGTCTGACGAGGATGATGACGTGGACGACGGTGATGCGGACGATTTGGATGGGGGTGGGGGTGAGGAGGAGGGGGGTGGGGAGTGTGCTAGGTTGTTGGCGGATTCGATTCACAAGTTTGGTGAGATATACGAGAAGATTGAGGAGAGTAAGAGGAAGCAAATGGTGGAGTTGGAGAATATGAGGCAGGATTTTCAGAGGGAGCTCGAGCTGCAGAAGAAGCAGATTGTCGAGCGTGCCAATGCCGAAATTGCTAAATTACGAGAAATGGACGATGACGAGGATGATGGCGACGAGGATGGTGATGACGATAATACGGATACTTCTGTGGA